AAGAGCCACCATGCCCAGCCCCTCCTAGGTTTTTGGTAGTCCCTTCTCTTCCCCAGAGAAGAAGCCCTGCCCCACTTGATTGCCAGTCACACCCTCACTGCCAACTGTGCCAGGGTGGCCACCCCAGGGGGACCTGAAGAGCAGGGTCCTTGTCTTGGCTTTGCCGCTGCCCACAGGGAGCATGCTGGAGACAGATCCGAGTTCAAATCCAAGTTGGACCTCTTCCTGTCTGCGTGACACCAGCCAAGGTGCCGTCTCCCTGTGCCTCAGTTTCTGAGTCTATGACGCAAAGGTACTGTTGTCCACTTGGTGGGGCTGTTGTGGGGAATACATGCCAAGCGTGCAAGGAAGGTGCTCTCCAAGGTTAGCTGTGCTGAGATGGTTTCAAAAGCTCTGGTGATACGGAGAGCTCAGTACATGTCAGCTGTTGATAATGATATCATTATAATCAGCGTCACCCCTGTGGACACTGTGTGACTTTGAGCAAGTGACTTCACCCTCTGAGCCCCTGTTACCTCACCTGTGAAATGGGGAGGATAACTGTACGTACCTTGTAGGGTTCTGAGAACTAGAAAGACATGAGCACCTGGCATTGTGGTACAATTGAGCTCTATATTAGAGCTAGGTGTTGAGGAAATGCCTGTCATGGTGCTTCGAGGCACAGAGCCCTGATTTAAAGCCTGGTTCTGCCTCCTAGAGTTGTCTGACCTTGAGAAACTCCTATCTCCTCTCTGGGCCTCAGTTGCCTCATTTGTAAGTTGGGGGTGATAATATTAAGAGTTCCACTTTCACAGGCTCTTGATTAAATGAACTATTGAATGTAAGCTTCTTAGCAAGATGCCTGGACGTAATCAGTGCTCTATGTGTGGTCCTTACTAAGATTTATTATTAAGTTCTCCTCTCTGCTGGGCGCAGTGGCTCATGCCCATAATCTCAGCACTTTGGGAGGCCAAGGCAGGTAGATCACTTGAGGCCAGGAATTTGAGACCAGCCTGGCCAACATGGCAAAACCTGTCTCTACTAAAAATACAAAAAAAAATTAGCCAGGTGTCGTGGTGCACGCCTATAATCCCAGCTACTCAGGAGGCTGAGGCAGGAGGATCACTTGAACCCAGGAGGTGGAGGTTGCAGTGAGCCGAGATCACGCCACTACACTCTAGCCTGGGTGACAGAGTAAGACTTGGTCTCAAAAAAAAAAAAAAAAAAAAAAGGGCCGGGCACTGAGGCTCACACCTGTAATCCCAGCACTTTGGGAGGCCGAGGCAGGCAGATCACCTGAGGTCGGGAATTTGAGGCCAGCCTGGCCAACATGGTGAAACCCCATCTCTATTAACGATACAAAAAATTAGCTTGGCGTGGTGGCGCGCACCTGTAATCCCAGCTACTCAGGCAGCTGAGGCAGGAGAACCACTTGAAGCCAGGAGGCAGAGGTTGTAGTGAGCCATTGCACTCCATGCCTGGGTGACAGGGCGAGACTCCATCTCAAAAAAAAAAAAAAGTTCTCCTCTCCAGGCCTCAGTTTCCTCATTTGTAAAATGAGAGCAATGATGTCTGAGACCGCGCTCAGCTCTCATTGTTCTGCAAGTCACTCTCCTTTTCACTTCGGCCCTGTTTGCTGAAGCCACATCCCCGCCTTCTCATCTGATTGTGCCTGGCCACCTCTGGAGGCCACCTGTCTCCCCCACCCTCTCGGCAAGCCTGAGGGACCAGAGGCGCTGCCAGGCTGTCTGGGGATGAGCTATTAGAACGTGCTTTCGAAAGGGTCAAATATGACTGAACAACGATGGCTACTTTTTTGGAACTGCTATCATGCCTGGGCCTGCGAACTTATTTCTGAACTCTTGGAAATTGGTATTATTATCCCATTATACGATAAAGAGGCTTTGAGTGGTTCAACCATTTGCTTAAGGAGATGCTGGAAGTGACAAAGATGGAATCTGAATTCAAATAGTAATAATAGCAAACAACTGTAATAACAGGAGTTAACATTTGCCAGGGGGTGATATTACTCTTTTAAGTATTACCTCATTAAACAATCCCAGTGACCCATGGGGTGGATGTTACGATTCCCATTCTATAGATGGAGGAGCAAGACCGAGAGAGATGGAATGACTTGGCCAGTCACCAAGGTAGGAGGTGACAGAGCTGGCCTTGAACCTGAGCCTGCCTGGGACCAATGCCCAAGCCAGCTGTTTGACAGTCCTTCCCCACACCCCACAACCCTACAAGCATCAAAGGTCACCCAGCAGCCTCTCCCAGCCAGCCCTAAGTGCACCTACTCACACTTCCAGGCTGGGGCTATCTGACCCTGAAACAGGCTGCTGAAGGTGGCCTTGGGAATCCCAGCTTAGCTCCCAAAGAGGGTTGCGTGGGTTCCCTTAGAAAATTGATTCTTACCAGGAGGTTCCATGGACTTCCTACGACTGGATGCAAATTTGTGAATGTGTGTGTGTGCATTCCAAAGGTGACAAACCAGAGCTTGAGAAGTGTCTGATTCTGTGGAATGGGAGAACACGAGGGACGTCCCCAAAGTTTCTAGGTCTCTGCAACCTGCCTGTCCCTGCCTCTGTGGGACTTTAGCACCATCTTGCAGGAGGACTCGCAGAGAAGAAAAGCAATAGGCCAAAGCAAGTTCAAACTGTGCCACCCTCCCCTAGCTGGACTGACTGCAAAGATGCATTTATTCCAGCTTGTGTCGGTATTGCCAGATTCCCAGCCCCGCCAGAGGGGAGGCATGAGCCACAAATCCTTCCGGGCACTGATTTATGTAGCATTCATGCGGAATTCATTGTACAAAGAATTTTATTCAATTAAACTTGAAATGCATCTGGATTCTTAAAGGTTCAGTAGTGATCACTGGGACAGGGCGATCATAAAACTGGATGGGCTGTCGGAAGGTGTCGAGGCAGCGGCAAGGGTGACATTGCCGCTGACGGGGGCTTCCGAACCAGGGACGTTTGTCATTGGGATGTGTTACAAGTTCGGGCTGTGGAAATTACTCGGTGAAAAATGCACATTAACAATAGCCATGAAGTATCAGTTAAGGGAAACTAGGTTGAGAAATGAAGACAGCAGGATCTATCAGAGCCTGGCATTGTTCACTGCAGCCCAGGTAGTGATTAAAACGACTGTCAAGCGGCGGTGGGTGGGAGCCGAGGAGCACGGGGCCGTGAGTGACGAGGCCGCGTCCGGGGCCCACATCTTGGTGCTGACTCCCCAGGACAACTCGGTTCCCCACCTAATGCCTCCATCCAGGGCTGCTATGGGGTTCAAATGAGATAATGTCTGTGGAACACTTGGCTCAGGGCACTGCATGTAGCAAGCCCTTCCACAGTGCGGGCTGGTGTCACTGTTACTGCGGGCTTCTCTCCGAGGGAACAGCCAACTGCCAGCTTGTCTCTGGAAATGACACTAAATACCCCATTCCAGGGAGCCTGACCTGGAGGACGGGGAGGCATTTTCAAGGGTGCAAAATGTAAGGAAGTGCCCACAACCCACAAACTCAGTGATCGAGTAATATTTGTGTGCAATATTTTCCAAAATGAAATTATGAAAAAAATCTACGACAAGCAAGGAATCACGACTTTAAATAAAAGCAGACTGCTGTGTGTTTCAAAACCCATGTTTCCATGCAGTGGGCTGGAGCGTTTCTGAGAGTTGGCAATGGTGTGCACACACTGGGCAGCGCGGGCTTCACAGTCATGTTTCTTGATTGTAGGGCTTTTATTAACTTTCCCCACCTGGTTCAAAATATGCGAGGATATTTGCTCAGTGTACACATGGGGACGCATCTTTGCTTTTGCCTTGGGCTCTTGATAGAGCTTTTGAAAGGCGCTGCAGAAGAGCAAATGTTTTAAACACCCCATCCTCCCAGCCCCCAAAGCAAGCTTTCTCCATTTTTCCCAGGCTGGTGGCACATGAGAGAAACACCTGCTGAGTGGTGGCGTCTGCCCTGCACCCGGGTAGTTTCTCAGAGGTGTTTGCCGGTGAACCAGGAGACAGATACAGAGGCAGGGGTCTGAGAATGCGACTGTTAACATCCAGCCTGTGACAGCCAGTCCTGGAAGGACAGGACTTGGCAACAGGCAAACAGCCTTGTTTCAAAGATTGTCACTTTAGGATGTTGTATTTACTCAAAGAGCTTTCCTTATCCTTTGGAGGCTGTGCTTCCCCATGGCTAGGCATGCAGGGCTGCTGTGTTATTATATATATGTATAGCATATATATTCCCCCACACTTTGATGGTGATGGGTGGCTCAGAGGTAACTAAACTTCCAAATATATATATATACACACACATATTCCAGGAAGATTTTGAGGTGTAGACAGAATTGAGTGTTTCGCTGCAAGCTCTTTGAACATACTCCCTGACCGAGCCTTAGTGATTACATGGTTAACCACCATTCACTTCTGAACACTCAAGCCTTTCCCGTTTTCAGGGTTTTTTTTTTTTTTTTTTTTTTTTTTTTTTGAGACAGAGTCTCGCTCTATCACCCAGGCTGGAGTGTAGTGTCACGATCTTGGCTCACTGCAGGCTCTGCCTCCTGGGTTCAAGTGATTCTCCTGCCTCAGCCTCCTGAATAGCTGGGATTACAGGTACCTGCCACCATGCCCAGCTAATTTTTGTTTTGTTTTGTTTTTTGGTATTTTTAGCAGAGATGGGGTTTTGCCATGTTGACCAGGCTGGTCTCAAACTCCTGACCTCAGGTGATCTGCCTGCCCCGGCCTCCCAAAGTCTGTTTTCAGCTCTGTTTTGCACACACTGAACACCGACTCCGTACCAGACCTGGGAGTGACTAAGGGGGCAGTGAGGCGCTGAACAAAGCCACCTCCTGGAAGGCATGCACACACTCCTGGTCATCTGCACCTCACCCACCCTGCCCAAGGCTCGAGAGGGCCACCACAGCCTGTCAGCAATGAAGGGACCCAGAAGACACAAATGCATATACCTGGCCCTCCCGCAAACTTTGCAGGCAAGGTGGTAAGAATGAAGGCAAAAATATGCACATGACTGAGAATGTAATGTTTGCTGACTTGCCAGCATGAAAGATGGCCTGAGTGACCAGCTGACCCGAGCCTCGCTCCGTGGCCCATGCTAAGCAGCCACTCAGTCAATACGTGATGGCTGAATGGAGTTCGCCAGGCATTTCAGCCCTGAAACTCAACAAGAGTCTGTCCTTCCAAAGTCATTTCCTGCAATTAGCAGCCTGCAGTCTTCAGGTTCTTGGGGCTGCCTCTTCTGCCCTTCATAAATATCGCCTTTCCCAAGGACACTGCTGGCACTGGCAAGTGTCGTTTCATAGCAGGAGGGAGGAGCGGTGACAACTGAAATAAATACAGCCGTGCATGGATCTCAGAGGTGTAAGCCAGCCAAGTGCAACATCAGAGAAATCAGTCTGGTGGATGTCAGCGTCGCTGGAAACTGACAACCTCATTTTCTTAAGCTGAAGACGCTGCACCACAGACCCTCGACTCAGTCCAACTGGACAGGGAATGTTCACCTTCAAGCGGTAGTGGTGTTCTCAGCAGGGTCTCCACCCCTTTCAGAGGGGGTCCTCTAAGCTGCACCCCCACCACACACACTTCAATCTAAGCCAGGAGTTTCTGAGCCTCGCCTGTCAATCTGCAGCTATCCTTCCCCCACACTTTGGCAGTGATGGGTGGCTCAGAGGTAACTAAACTTCCAAATCCTGTCCGCCTTCCCTGTTACAAATGTGACATTTAAAGCCCCTTTGGCACAGGTAAATCACAATTACATTTTCAAGGGCCTCTGGTCCCATTCCAAATCTCTGAACAACCTGAGCTGGCAGTAGGAGGGCGCTCTCTCTCTCTCTCTCTCTCTCACACACACACACACACACACACACACACACACACACACACACACACACACACGGCTCCAGCCTTTCTCACTTTTATTCTTTTTCCGCACAGCTCCTTCTCATTGCAGCAATCACTTTACCTGTCTTTCCTGCAATGCCAATTCATTCCCACATCCCTCCAAGACCCAGGAGAGCTTGGGGAAGCAGGGTCAGGGACAGAATCCCCAAAGGGCCACAGTCCCTTGAGGAAGGTGGCAGGAGGTGTGGAGCAAAGCAGAGCTGGGACGAAAGGCTGCTTTCAGTCTCTCTGGGTGAGCTCTTCAGGAACCAGAACCCCAGAAGGGCAAGCTCCTCTCTCCATGGCCATTGCCATGGAGGGATCCTCCAAGCTCCCACTTTCTGTGATTTCAGCGTGCCTCCGACTCGGCTGATGGGTCATTTTTCTTGTATATTTTCTCTTGATTCCCCTCCTTCATGGCTGCATATCTGGCTAGTGTGAAGAGATAGTCACTGAGTCTGGAGGGGCAGAGAGACAGAAGCAAACAGAGTGGTTTGAAATGAGAGATCAATGCTAACTGGGTCTTCCCATATCTGCCTACAAGGAGGAGATATAAATGACACGCTCTGGGCACATTGTGCAGGGAGGGCGGGGGCCCAGCCACCTTGCACTTGATGGATGGCATGCGAGGCCAGCTGCTGTGAATGCCAAGGACTCTACTCCGGTGTCAAGGCTGGGGCCATTCCTGCAGGATGAGGCTATTGCCCCAGCCCTACCCCATGGGGCAGATGACTTTGGACTCCTCTCTGAGCTGGTTTCTGCACTTTTGAGTGATCAGGGCTCATGTGCGTGATCAGTTTGGGTGTTTCCCAAACTACAGTGTGCACAGGCATCACCGGGGGATCTAAGCAACGTGCAGATTCTGATTCGGGAGGGCTGGGCCAGGCCTGGGACTCTGTAGGTCTAGTTCCCATCCTGGGTGATGCCGACACTGCTGGACTAGGCCCTACTGACATTCTGGATCATTCTCTGTGTTCGGGGCTGTCCTGTGCATCCTGTGCAATGTAGGATGCTGACAGCACCTTTGGTCTCCACCCGCCAGATGCCAGTGGCACCCCTGAACCCAGTGTGACAACCGGTAATGCCTCCAAACATTGCCAAAGGTACCAGGTGAGCAGCACAGGCTGGGGCACTCTAGAGACCAGAGCCCAGTCCCTTTCCTGCCTCCTCCTTTGAGCCAACAGCAATGGGCCATCTGTGCATGAGGCCTTCTGCAGGGGCAGCCATGGAGGGAACTACAGGACAACACCACGGGCCCCACAAGGCGCTTATGCTGTCAGCTCTTCTGCCTCCTGCTGTCCGCATCTTTTGCTGTTTCATTCCCAGCACTGGGCACCAGTTCCTCCCTCTCTCTCTGCTCCAGTCTTGCCCTCAGAGGTCAGCTCCACACCACGTCCTCCTGAGCCCTCCCCTGACTCAGGCGCCCTGAGCCCCACAGCTGGCTCTCAGGAACAGCGAAGGGTAGGTGGTTCGGGGTATTTTACCTCTGGGCCGCGTGCTCCTGGAGGGCAGCAGCGTACCTGTTGCTTGTTGGCTCTGTGAAGCCTCACTGAAGAGATGAAATGGCCTGTCCCATGCAATGCTATGGGACCACAAGGGTCCCCCCAGGGTTGCTGCTTTGAAGGTGAAATAGACCTGCTCCTCACTCCCGGTGAAACCCCACTCCCAGAAGGAAAGGAGCTGCTCAGGACCTGTCGAAGCCAGGCCATGTCCGTGGGAGGAGTGGCCAGTCAGGGGCCTGAGGTCACTTTCTAGATACCCAGGACAGCTCCTGGGGTGCAGACCCACTCCCCCAGCTCTCTACCTGCCCCCAGGCTCTGACCTTGCTCACACTGGTGCCACAGGAGCCAGGGCTGGGGCAGGAACCAGCAGAGCAGGCGTTGGGCCAGGTGTGGCTCCAGCCTCATAGGCCGGCAGCAAGGCAGAGGAAGCCCTCCCTGGGCTAGCCTGGCTCACTGGGGCCTGCACGGAGGGCCCCTGAGCTCAGCTTGGCCCGGCTCTCTTTTGTTGGTTCACACTGCCCCAGGCCCTCTCAGGGAGAGGAAACTGGCTGAGAGAGGGCCTGAAGCCTGGCTCCCTGGTTGGTCACCACCGAGAGGCCTTCCCTGAGCACCCAGCCAAGAACACCCTTTGCTCCCGCAAGGCCACTTTGTACGTAAGTTTTTCTTCCTGGTTTTTATAGCAGCCTCTCCCAATAAGATCTAAATCTTCTCGGGACAGGCACAGTGTCCACCTTGTTCGCCACTGCCTCTCCTGTGCCTGCCGTGGTGCCTGGCACAGAGCAGATGTTCATAAACACTAAGGGAATGAAGGAGGGGGTGTGGGAACACTGCACCACTGCTACTTCCCACAGACGAGCCTCGGCTTTCAGAGAGGGACCCCCAGGTTCCACGCGAGTACCTGTTTAAGAACTTGGCCACGTTCGCATCGGTCTCTCCCATCTGGACAAGAGGCACCACACTAGAAAGGGAGGAGACACTGAGTCATGTGACATTATGGGGCTTAACAGGCTCTGACCTGGGGCCTAAACCTTGAGCAGCATTTCACATCCCACTACCGCTCAACCTGAGCCTGCACAAGCTCGGCCGGCACTGGAGATGACAAATCCGTCACAGGTGGGTTTAAACAGGCCATCGGCCCCCTTTCCACGGGCACATCGCAGGAGGGCCTGGCCAAGGAGGACTAGAGCACAGCTGGGGAGTTGAGGGAGCCGCCTGGCCTACACCACACCCCAGCCAGTCAGCCAGCTTTTGTACCATTGGACCTGAGTCTGGGTGGGGTGAAGTTGGGGTGGTCAGCCTCCAGCCTTCAAAGGAAGTGGGGGCCTGACCCTTAATTCCCAATGGGCTAAACTCTAAGCCCCTTGTACATCATGACTTAGAACAACTTCACAGGGGAGAAAAAGACCCAGGCAGACCAAGCTCCTGATTCCACAGGATTCTGGATTCCTAGGGTCCATGCCAGTCTATGTGCAGATACATTAGACACTGGACAGCCATCTGCTAGGCACCAGTGTGGTGGCAGGCCCTTGCTGAGCCTTTCCCAGGTATCACCCTGTGGCATACACTTTGTTGGCAGGCCAGCCACCTAAAGCCCCGCCTCAGGGTTCTCATACCCACCCAAAGCCATGCACCTGGCTAGCGGCCCAGCAGGGTGTGCGTCCAGGCCTGTCAGAGTTCTAGGCTATCTCTAGTGGGCACCACACGCTCAGCGAGGAGCTTCTTCACCCGAGATGCCCCGGGCGTGCATCCCCACCTCAGGACGATCTGCACCTTGCCACTGCCACGGCTGCATAACTCTGCCGCACGGAGGGCCTGTCAGCTGCTCTATGCCTGTGTTGGATCTTTGGGTTGTTTCCAGTTTCTTGCTATTATGAGCACTGCTGATGGATGGCTTTGTACAAATGACATTTTTTTTTCTTTTGAAGCCAAAGCTTGCTCTGTTACAGGAGCTATCTGGGCCCAAGAGCCTTTCATAAAGAACAAAACCTTAGTGATGTGGGACCATGGAAGAGCTCATGCTTGGCCCAGACAGACGTGGACTCCAATCTGGATTCTGCTACCAACCATTTGGGGGACTGTGGCCACGGTGTCATTTCTCTGAGCCACAGCTTCCTGACTCCTGTAAAGCGGAGACCACACCACCCCTCTCCCAGGGCTATCAACAAGGAGTAAATGAAATTATGAACGCAAAGTACCTGTCCACTGGATCAAAGTAGGGCTTGCTTTCTCTTCTCTGTAAAGCAGGCTGGCAGCCTGGTCTCTGAGTGGTGTAGATAGAGACTTTGCTCATTTCCTTCTACAGATTCCTTGAAAAGGCTGTCAGTAGCTTTAGGGTGGTGGTGGCTAGTCTGCTGACAGCGTCCACCCGGGCTCCCCACAGCCACGCAGGCCTTTCAGGGGCCTTATGCACCCAGAGGCCAGCAGAGTCCTTTCATGTCTACCCCTGTCCCAAGATGCTGGGAACCCAGCAATAACTTCCTGTTGTTCTCAGATTACAGGGCTCACAGCAAGGTGCAATTGTGTTGTCTGATAGTCCATTTGGTCATGTGTCACTGTCTCCACTCCACAACACAGTGCTCTGAGGACAGGGACTTGGTCTGTCCTGGTCCCCGTCTGGCACAGTGGTGTTGTGTGGCCTGTTGATGTGTGGCCGGATGGCTCAGAGATGGCCCTGCTGTGCCTGCCTCCTGCCTGCGGTGCAGAGGCCCCTCTCCCTCTCCCTCTCCCCCTTCCCCTCCCCCTTGTTCCTCTCCCTTTCCCTTGGGCCCTCTTACCGTCTCTCGGCCCGGCGGCACACGGCCCGGCAGAAATGCAGCGCTGAGCTGATCTTGCCTCCCGACTGAAAGCAGAAAGGGACATTGCCTGAGCAGGGTGGGAAAGGTGTGCCCACTGCAGACAGGAGCTCCTCTGAAGTCCAGCCCTGCCCCCCAAACCAGGCAGCATTCTGCCTCCAGGAGCCCTGCCAGGGCACATCCACTGGGCACCCTGCTCCAGAGTGGGCAGGGCTGGAAGGGACCGGTGAGGACCTGGAGGGACTTGGGGAAACTGGAGGACAGCGTCTGTCACTGTGAACAGAGGGACTTATTCAGAGCCCGTGTGTGTCTGTCACTGCAACTGCCTGCAGCCACCCCCAGTTAAGCCTGCCCAGTACCTACAGGCAGGATGAAGGCCGTGAGTGGTGGGAGCTGGCAGGTATACTTGTCGATCCACTGCTCCAGCTCCAGGATGGGCCCCGCCTCGAACGTGGTGTACTCTGAGGAGCCAAGGAGCAGAGGGAACTACCATGAGGCCATCACCTACCAGACTATGGTGGGAACCGCCCCCGTTGCCCTTCCACCTGGGTGTCCCGCAGACTGCTTCCACTGGCTCAGAAGGTACCTTCCCTCCCAGGGGCTACAAGCAAGGCTGACTGGCCCACCTGTGGGTCCCCGGGTGCCTGGGCTCCCAGATGGTAACCCCTTGGAGAGTCCCCTCACCCTAGGCTCACAGGAGGTTGAGAATTACTTAAGTGAGCCTCCCGGGCCGACGAGCGTGGTGTCGCCAGAGCCGAGCCGACGTCCTGCAATGTGCACTGGATCTGGGAGGCAACAGAAGGTGACAGTCAAGATCTATTTGGGATGGGCTGGACAGAGAGAATGTCGTTCCATGTGCAGAGGCGCCACCTAACATGCCGGCAAAGCCTGTGCCAGCTAGCTCATGAAGGGCTGTGATATGGTTTGGCACTGTGTCCCCACCCAAATCTCATGCTAAATTGTGATCCCCAGAGTTGGAGGTGGGGCCTGGTGGGAGGTGATTGGATCATTGGGGTGGTTTTGAATGGTTTAGCACCAGCCCCCTAGTGCTGTCTTGTGATAGAGTTCTCCCAAGATGTGGTTTGAAAGTGTGTAGCATCTCCCCCTTCACTCTCTCTCTCCTGTCAGCCATGTGAAGATGTACCTGCTTCCCCCTTGCCTTCCGCCATGACTGTAGGTTTCCGGAGGCCTCCCCAGAAGCAGAAGCCTGTACAGCCCGCAGAATCATGTGCAGATTAAACTTCTTTTCTTTATAAATTATCCAGTCTCAGGTAGTTCTTTATACCAGTGAGAGAACGGACTCATACAGGCTGTCAGACCTTGAACTGGCTGACATTTGAAGGCAAACTCTGAACCTTCAGCACAACATCTTTGTTGGACACCCAGCCCTGCTGAGGGGGACCTGCTGTGGCTCTTTTGCAGTCTGAGGGAGGAAAAGGCTTGTGTGGGGGCAGCAGCCGGGTTAAGCAGATGACGCTCATCACACACCCAGGGACAGTTAAGAGGAACCGTCTAGGCTCTGCCCACGTCTCCCGTGCGCCTAAGCCCTATGAGGTTTTCTTCTTTTCTCAACATTTGACAGCTGGGCCAAGAGGTCAAATGTGACACTGCTTCCTCAACTCTAAAGGACAAGGAGCTTGGAGAATGTAGTCAGCCAAGGCGTTTGGGGGTTCCGGGAGCAGGAAGCCTGGCTGGGTGAGGCCTGTGCTCTGTCCAGGTGGGGGGTAGGTTTGCTTGGAACAGAAGGTCTGTTGGGGTCTGCTGCAAGGGCTCCAGGCCCCTGCATGACAAATGTCCAACAGCTCCCATGCATGTGAAAACCACAAGTACCACCTCTGACTTTGTGCCCAGCCAGGGTCCACTCGAGATGGATGGTGGGCTACCAGGAGGGTGAAGGTCTGCGACCTCTGACCTCCTCTAAGATGGCCACTGTGACAGCATTCAAGAAGCAGGCCATGGTGTGTAAGAGCAGAAGCTGCCCATCCAGCACTGGGCTGGAACCTTCCTAGGGCTTCTGACCAGCAGACCTTGGGCAAGCTTGGGGTCCCTGCGCTTCCACAGTCAAAGCGGGAGTGGTAACACTACCCACTTGGTTGGCCAAGTGCAGTGTGTACCCCAGGGGCTGAACTGGCACCAGTGCAGCATGTACCCCAGGGGCTGGACTGGCACCAGTGCAGCGTGTACCCCAGGGGCTGAACTGGCACCAGTTTGGGAATCAGATTCCAGCTCCACTGATGCCTGGCTGTGGGGGCTGGGCAAGTCAGCCTTTCCGAGGCTCAGTTTGGCTCCCTATAAACTGTGGACATTAACTTCCACCTCACGGGCATCTGTGAGGGTGAAATGGGTGATATGAGAGCCGTGGCATTGCTGCCCAACCTCAGCCACAGGCCCTGCAAGCAGCTACCAGGCCAGGTGGGGCTCCCAGGTGAACAAGACACAGTCCCCGCCCTAACAGTGCCAAGGCTGGGTGGGAGGCAGATGGGTGAACAGGTTCACTCCCCTTGTGATGCCTGTGGTTAGAGGATGTGGAAACCTAGGAGCGGTGCCTAACCCAGCTGGAGGTGAGGTGGCCAGGGAAGGCCCTGGAGGAGGTGACATGGCAGCTGCGACCCAACGCATACAGCAGACAGAAATGACCGCTGCTACCGTGGCTCCTCAGGAGGTTGAAAGCCTTCCTCCACCACACTGAATGTTCTGGTGGCTGAGGCTTCCCATCCTCCTGCAGCCACGGCCTGTGGCAGCCCCACCTACTCCCCTCTGTCTGTTCCCAGGGGCCTGAGCAGGCTCCAGCCTGGGCTTCAGAACGGAAGTGGGAAGGGCTGCCCCTGCGGGGAGCGGTTTCTGGGGATCTGGGTCTGTGTGGAGGTGTAAAGTGCGGCACCCTGGGCATTCCCGGGTGGTGACCCTGCCTCCGTGCTTGAAGTTCTCTGTGTGGGTCAGAGGCCCCCTCCTTCTTAGGGAACAGAACAGTGACACTGTGACACATGAGTCCCACTGGCTGAGGGCTCACTGCAGCTGGGCCTCTCCAGGTTCCCTCTGCATCGGGCATGACCAAGGCACTTCACACTGGCTTTCTCAGCCTTGGTGCTATTGCCATTCACAGCCGGGTCATTCTTTGTTGATGGGGGTTGTCCCGTGCATTGCAGGATATTTAGATGTCAGCAACACCCCACCCCCAGATGCGACAACTAAAAATGTCTTCAGATATTGCTCAGCAGGCCCTGAGGGGCAGAATGGCCCTGGGTTGAGAACCGTTACATTTTAAATTCCCTCATTTAGTGCAATCCTCACCACTCACCTGTGAAGGAAGATTATATGTCTCCAATCGTTTGTTTTGGAGACAGAGGTTTTTGTTTTATTTTTTTTAAGACAGGATCCCACTCTGTTGCCCAGGCTAGAGTGCAGTGGTGTAATCACAGCTCCCTGCAGCCTCAACCTCTGAGACTCAAGCGATTCTCCCACTCAGCCTTGTAAGTTGCTGGGACTATGGGTGCATGCCACCATACCTGGCTAATTTTTAATTTTTTTTTTTTTTTTTTTTTTGGTAGAGACAGGGTCTCCCTAAGTTGATCAGGCTGGTCTTGAACTCCTGGCTTGAAGTGATCCTCCCACTTTGGCCTCCCAAAGTGCTGGGATTACAAGCTTGATTGAACCATGGTGCTCGGCCTGAGACAGGGTCTCAATCTATTGCCCAGGCAGGAGTGCAGTGGCATGATCACAGCTCACTGCAGCCTTGATCTCCTGGGCTCAAGAGATCCTCCTACCTCAGCTTCCTGAGTAGCTGAGGCTACAGGCATTCACCACCACGCCTGGCTAATTTTCAAATATTTTGTAGAGTCGGGGTCTTACTGTGTTACCCAGGCTCCTGGCCTCAAGTGATCTTCCTGCCTCAGTCTCCCAAGCAGCTGAGATTGCAGGTGTGAGCCACCACACCTGGCCTGTCCCTACTTCACAGATGAAGAAATGGAGCTCACAGAGGGAGAGTGACGAGCCCCAGGTGACACAAAGAGGAACTGATGGCTGGATGCTGAGTTCCGTGATGGCCACCAGGGATGAAGATTCCCAGCTTGAGTTAAGACAGTGTTACTCACTTTCTGAAGCTCTTCAGCAAATATGTGGCCCTTTTCTGTGACTAATTCCAGAGCAAACCTATGAGGGAAAAGGAAAAAGTGTTCGCCTGTAATGTAATGTCCCTAGGCCCTGTCTTGCCGTAAACAATAGATTCTCAGGTGGTGGGTCATTTAGTTAATTTAGATATAATAAACACATTATTTTTCTTGCTGACAATAACAACATTATACCCTTCCACTTGGGGGGTTGGTGGTATGTTTCTTGAAATGCCTTTTCGGATACTCATTATTTCCAGTCAATAATTCCTTTTGAACAGCTACTCTGACCAGGCCCACGAGAGTCTGGTGAACAGAAGCTGACCTAGGCTCTGCCCAGCAAGCTGGTGACAGGGTGAGCAGTGACAGTCTCAAGTGATGGATCCTGAGCTCTGACCCGTGGTCCTGTGGTTATAGGTGAGTGGGAACCAGACAGACCCAGGTACAAATTCTGCATCGCTGCTGAGTGTCTCTGGGACTTCAGGCAAAGCTTATACCTTCATGTTCAGGAGTGTGATAGGTAATCAGATTAGATATACTCCTGAATGTGAAGGTGCAAACTGAGATCAGTGCTCTGAAGGAAAGGGCAACAGAAGCCTAATCTGACCTTAGTTAGAGAGGCAGGGAGGGCTTCCTGGAGGAAGTGATGCTGGAGGGGAGCCTTGAAGGTTGGGAAGGACTTTCCTCGTAAGGCAGGGAAAGCAAACTGCCCCTGACACAGGTCAGGACCCTGGCTCTGCCTCCCTCAGAACCTTGCACTTCCCTCCTGCACCAGTCAGTGCCCCAGCAGCAGACAGTGGTGCATTGCAGGGATTCCTGGAGGAGGGCTTTGGGAAGGGACAATTCACAGAGGTGTGGGCAGAGTTTCAGGCAAATGCAGGAGCCTGAAGGCAAGGGTCAGGGAAGGTGCAACTCACCCTGGAGGGAGCTGGATTCTGGAGTCACTCAGCAGGGAGGGAGGGAGGGAGGGAGCCCAGCTGCCACCAGAACCATGCACCGCTGGGGAACGGGGTCACACACACTCCTGATCTCTCTGCACTCACTCCCCCATCACCTGCTGGTGCCTCCCACTGGCTGGACCCACCTGAATGCCAGAAGACCAAGGAATGGAGGTGGCATAGCCACCAGGTGATAAGGCCAGCCTCCCATGCATAAAGAGAAGGTGAAGAGAAGGGATTTGAAAGGGCCAATGGAGAATATCCAGCCCATCTTCCTGGCACATCTTACAGTTAGAACTAAACACACCAGTGTGATTCCCACCCGGTATGTGTCTTCCCTCTGGACCAAAGGGAAGGGCTGTGCAGGCTGGGACACAGTCTGTCTCCATCATAGCGGATGCCTCATGCCTGCCTCACAGGAGGTGTGCAGAAGTATCTGCTTGCCAAGGGACGCTCCGTGACCAGGCCAGTGGCAGGCCCCCACTGGGCGCTTGCCCTAAGCCTGCTCCCACGCGTGTAGCTGCCCGGTGAGTGCTGCCTGCTCCCTGTACTCTGAGGCTTAGGAAGGCGGGGCTGAGGTTCTCTGTTGAGCAGCGCCTTGCAGCAGATGCTTGGCCAATATCTGACCAAGGAAGAATCCACAACTAAGATTTCCCAGACCTCCTGCTCCTCCTCAACTGAGAGATGATGGCTCGTGATTTAGAGCTCATTAGAATAGCTGACGCGAGAACTGGCCTTTTCTCCCTTTGCCCACTTGGTCTTGTGTCTGCCCCCTTCTGGACCCCCTCCCACACACACATCAAGGGGTTTGTTTGCCTTCTCTACCCAGCTGGCTATCTATACCTCCCATTATCTGTCCCGAAAATCTCACCTAGCCAGGCCCACCATGGAGAAATGGTAGCCAGGAACAGGTAACTGTTAAGAACAGTAAAAATGAGGGGACTTGCTTGAACCTGGGAGGCAGAGGTTGCAGTGAGCTGAGATCGCGCCATTGCACTCCAGCATGGGCAACAAGAGTGAAACTCCATCTCAAAAAAAAAAAAAGAATGATAATAGCTAACATTGCTATTACTTGTGCTAGGCACTGTCCTCAGGGTGAAATGTGGAATCATCTCATTTAAGCCCCACAAGAACACAGTGAGACGGGAATTAGCATGATGATTACCTGACAGAACAGTAAACTGAGGCTCACAGTGATCTGCCTGACGTCCCAGAGACGATCTGCAGCGGTGCTAAATCTGCAGCTGGGTCTGTCTGGCTCCCACACACCTACAGTCCACAGGGCCCGGAGTCAGATACCAGGATCCAGCACTTGAGACTGTTGCTGCTCCCCCTGTCACCAGCTTGCAGGGCACGCTGGGCAGACTGTGCTCCTGCTTGCAAATATTTGCTGCCCCTCCCACCCCGCTGATGTCAGGCACGTGCACATGACAGTCTCTGGCCACTGAAATGTGAGTAAATGGAAGGCATCACTCCCAACAAAGGTTTGTCTTTTGGAGACAGAGTTGTACTCTCGCCCAGACTGGAGTGTAGTGGCACGATCATGGCTCAATGCAGCCTCAACCTCTCAGACTCAAGTGATCCTCCTGCCTCAGCTTTCTGAGTAGCTGGGACTACAGGTGTGCACCACCACGCCTGGCTAATTTTAAAATTTTTCTTTTTAGTAGAGATGAGGTCTTGCTATGTTGCTCAGGCTGGTCTCAAACTCCTGAGCTCAAGTGACTGTCCTACCTCGGCCTCCCAAAGCGCTGGAATTAGACCTGTGAGCCACTGCTCACACTTTTTTTTTTTTCCAACTTTTATTTACCAACAAAGTTTAGTCTCCATAAAGACTGTGAGAAACTGCCAATGTCGACTATACTTCAAGTCATCATGGCAGGGTAGTGGGAAGAGTTTTCAATCGGCAATAATCACACCTTGGATAAACCTCACTGGCGACAACACTGCCACTGCGCAATCCCCTGACAGCCTCAGGAGCCACTGTGAGCTTCACCATGACCTCTTTTCCCTCTGTCACAATGACTGATAATCGCCCCAGGCAGCAGCTGTCCTAGCAGCCTGGGTCCCAGAGTAAAGGCCACATGGAGCCATAGCACATCCACCCTGTGATGGGGGTGAAGTGGGAGCAGCCAGTCCACCTTTGGTGTCCTAAGCCAGGAGATTCGGGGGTTGTCTGTGACCACAGCATGACCTGCCCATCCTGACCTGGCCCATCCTCGAGTCCACCTTCTATACTTTGGCTTATGTAAAAAACAACATTCACAAAAGGGATCACATTGGATGTACTGCGCATTATACTAACTCACCTCTTTCACTCAATATACTAACCTCAGTGGCACACACAGGCTCACCTGAAAAGTGAGGGAGGAGGGGGAGGCAGCTTCACATGGCATGGGCCAGAGGCCATGCAGGCACCGGCAGGGCCAGAAGGGAAAGGAGTCTGCAGCCCTGCAGCCTTGTGGAGCTGACCAGCCTGTGCTTCAGCGCTGAGGAAAGTTCAATAAGGGCTGACAACCTCCGAGGCAGCTGTCCAGCACACGTGGGAGCTTCACATTCATTACGTTTACCCATACTCGACTCAAACGCAACCTCAAGGCCAATCCTGTTCTTCTTACCCAATAGCTGAACTTAATTCATCTGTAGTTCCCACGGCTTCAAACACTTGGTCGTCTTTGGGTCTCCTTTCTCCTGTGAAAGTGCTAGAAAACCCTGTGGAAAAAAATGTTTAGCCACCCAAATTAAGATTCTGTTTTCCTGATATGCTGGTTTTTTTTGTTTGTTTGTTTGAACTTTCAAGTTTTTAAAGAACTTTCTCTCTCTTTTTTGAACTGTCGCTCTGTCATCCAGGCTGGAGTATAGCAGCGTGATCTTGGCTCACTGAAACCTCTGCCTCCCAGGTTCAAGTGATTCTCGTGCCTCAGTCTCCCAAGCAGCTGGGATTACAAGTGTGTACCAGCATGCCCGGTTAATTTTTGTATTTTTAGTAAAGACTGGTTTTTGCCATGTTGGCCAGGCTAGTCTTGAACTCCTGGCCTTAAGTGATTCACCTGCCTCAGCCTCCCAAAGTGCTGAGATTACAGGCATGAGCCACCGCACCACCCCTTAAAGAACTTTCAACCTGAAGTATAACATATACACAGAAAAGTACTCAAATCATAAGTGTGCAAGTTGGTGAATTACTACTAACTGAATATACCTCTGTGATCAGAACCTAGCTTCATAAACAGAACATGACCAACACCCTGAAAGCCCCCATGTACCCCCTTTTAGTTGCTACTCCCCAAGGGTTAGCCACTATCCTCACTTCTTTCCTGATGTGCTTTTATTTTAAACTTAAAAATCACACATTGGCCGGGCGCGGTGGCTCAAGCCTGTAATCCCAGCACTTTGGGAGGCCGAGACGGGCGGATCACAAGGTCAGGAGATCGAGACCATCCTGGCTAACATGGTGAAACCCCGTCTCTACTAAAAAACAAAAAAAAAACTAGCCGGGCGAGGTGGCGGCCGCCTGTAGTCCCAGCTACTCGGGAGGCTGAGGCAGGAGAACGGCGTGAACCCGGGAGGCGGAGCTTGCAGTGAGCTGAGATCCGGCCACTGCACTCCAGCCTGGGTGACAGAGCGAGACTCCGTCTCAAAAAAAAAAAAAAAAAAAAAAAAAATCACACATTAACCATCCTGATAAAGACATAAAACATGTTACATATTTTATATCATATATACATTACCATTATATTTCACAGGACGTCAAAGTCCTCTGTGCCTCTGCCTAGCTCACAGTCCCTGCCTTTCTCCCCCAACCTCTGAGAAAGTGAAAACTGCCCCTGACAGTTTGGAGCTGGCTTTTGCTATTGGGCAGGCTTTGGGGTTGCCAGGTGTTGGCCTGGCACTCACAGGTAGACTGTGGTGTTCTGCTGAACACAAACCATTTCACAGAAAATCGTCAGACAGCTGGCTCTATGACTATGATGGTTCAAGACCAAGACAAGGCCACTCTGGAATAATGTCTGAGCACAGATGACTGTCCAAACACCAAAAGATGACCAAACATCCCCCTTCCCTGGCGAATGTGAATGGCTGTTGCATCTTTATCCATTACAGCGTTAGCACCTCTTTGTCCCTTCTGTCTTCTAGAGACAAATTATTAAGATACCCAATTACAGGCCGGGTGCGGTGGCTCACACTGTAATCCCAGGACTTTGGGAGGCCATGGCGGGCAGATCACTTGAGGCCAGGAGTTCGAGACCAGCCTGGCCAACATGGCAAAACCCTGTCTCTAATAAAAACAGAAAAAATTAGTCGGGCATGGTGGTGCATGCCTGTAGTCCCAGCTGTTTGGGAGGCTGAGGCATAAGAATCACTTGAACCTGGGAGGTGGAGGTTGCAGTGAGCCGAGATCATGCCACTGCACTCCAACCTGGGCAACAGAACTAGACCCTGTCTCGAAAAACAAAAAAAGATACCCAATTACAGAAACAGCCCTGCTTCCTAACAGGATTCAATCTGCAGCAAAGCCCCACTTCCTTGAATCCTCCCCCAAACCACCCAATAGAAGCCCAACTCTATAATAAGTCCTTTCCAATATCCTCTTCCTTCTTTTTAATTGTGGTAACAGATGAACATAACAGAATTTTGCCATTTTGACCCTTCTTAAGTTTACCCTTCAGTGGCACTGAGTATGTCCCGTGAATGCTTTTATACTTTTACTATACAAGTATACACCCAAAAAACAATACATACTAGTGATCTGCATGTTTTTTTTGTTTTTTTTTTTTTTTTTGAGGCGGAGTCTTGCTCTGTCGCCCAGGCTGGAGTGCAGTGGCACTATCTCGGCTCACTGCAAGCTCCGCCTCCTGGGTTCACGCCATTCTCCTGCCTCAGCCTCCCGAGTAGCTGGGACTACAGGCGCCGCCACCACGCCCGGCTAATTTTTTTTTGTATTTTTAGTAGAGATGGGGTTTCACCGTGTTAGCCAGGATGGTCTCGATCTCCTGACCTCGTGATCCACCCATCTCGGCCTCCCAAAGTGCTGGGATTACAGGCTTGAGCCACCGCGCCCGGCCTGCATGTTTTTATACTACAAAAAAATGGTATACTGGCTGGGTGCGGTAGCTCATGCCTCCTGTAATCCGAGCACTTTGGGAGGCTGAGGTGGGAAGATACCTTGAGCCCAGCAGTTCAGGACCAGCCTGGGCAACACAGCAAGACCTCATCTCTACAAAAAAAAATTAAAAAGTATTAGCCAGGCATGGTGATGTGTGCCTGTTGTCCCAGATACTCAGAAGGCTGAGGTGGGAGGATTACTTCGAGCCTGAAAGGTGGAGGCTGTAGTGAGCTGTGACTGGGCCACTGCACTCCAGCCTGGGTGACAGAGTAAAACCCTGTATCCAAAAAAAAAAAAAAAAAAAGTATCATAGTAGTACATGCTTCTGCATCTTACTTTTTTCTATATAACATGTTCTAACATTTAAAAAACTATTAAAGTAATATATACTCATTATAAAAAACAATAAAATAGAATAAAAGTATATAAATAGTGAAAGTCCTTCTGTTTGTTCCCCTCTCACAACCTCTCTCCCAGAACAGTCCCAGGTGTAACCTTTCAGACTATTCTACACATACCTGAACACATACATATGCACATCCTTATCCAGACAGATTCAGGCTTTTGTCATTTAATATCTCGAGTGTTTTTCATTTCACATAACATTTTTGTAATGTATACTGAGATCTGTCACATATTTTTTATATATATATATATATGTATTTTTTTTTTTTTTCTGAGACTTTTTTTTTTTCTCTGAGACAGCATCTCGCTCTGTCACCCAGGCTGGAGTGCAGTGGCATGATCTTGGCTCACTGCAACCTCTGCCTCCCAAGTTTAAGCAATTCTCCTGCCTCAGCCTCCCAAGTAGCTGCTGGGGTTACAGGCGTGCACCATCATACTCAGCTAATTTTTGTATTTTTAGTACAGATGGGGTTTCACCATGTTGGCCAGGTTGGTCTCAAATTCCTGGCCTCCCGACAGGGCCTCCCAAAGTGACGGGATTACCGGCATGAGCCACTGTGCCTGGTCACATATTATACTTTTAAGTGGCCGCAAAGAATTTGGAAGAACTTTAAAATGGTGTATGCCGTGAGTATTTCTCTGTGTTTTTCGCCTGTCCCCACCCTACCTTTGTCTCCCGTTTTGGTGTAAATCTTGGGGATCCTGGGTGTCTTCGAGGAAGGCTGTGGCCTAATGAGAAATAAACATCAGTATCTGGTGAGTGGGGATGGTTTACACAGAGGGTCAGCTCCTTCAGGAGGTCCCAGCTTGCTGCTTGTAACCTCAGAGGCAGCACCTACCCCTTACTGCTTAGATGGTCATCTCTTATTGATTTCTTTCCCCTAGATCCCTTCTAATAGCAAACATTCTGTGGGCAAGACCAGAGCTGGGTGACAGTGTGTACAGTAGCTGACGTAACGCCTTGCTCAACATGGGCTCAATACCTATTTGCTGAAGGACTTGATTGATCCTTTGCCATTGTCCCTGCACTGTGCCAAGTAGTTTACAGGCATTACCTTCTGGAATTATCCTGGAATCTTTCCACAACCTCAAAGGTAGGCACCACCTATTCTCTTCATTTTACTGAGGAGGAAACTGTAGATCAGATGAGACTCACTTTCCTAGATCATCCAGGAAGAGGCAGGAGTGGGATGTTCAAAACTGTCCTAGACCAGAGCACAAACTGTAACTTCTATCCTGCTGAAATTCTTTATTTATTATTATTATTATTATTTTGAGATGGGGTCTCGCTCTGTCGCCCAGGCTGGAGTGCAGTGGCACGATCTAGGTTCACTGCAACCTCTGCCTCCCAGGCTCAAGCAATCCTCCCACCTCAGCCTCCCCAGTAGCTGGAACCACAAGTGTATACCACCACACTCGGCTAATTTTTTTTTTTTTTTTTTTTGGTAGAGACGGGTTCACCATGTTGCCTAGGCTGGTTTTGAACTCCTGAGTTCAAGCAATACGGCTACCTCAACCTCCCAAAGTGTTGTGATTACAGGTGTGAGCCACCATACCTAGCCTATGATTATTTTGTTCACAGACAGGGTCTTGCTCTGTTGCCTAAGCTGGAATGCAGTGCAGTGGCATGATCATAGCTCGCTGCAGTCTTGAACTCCTGGGCTCAAGGGATCCTCCTGCCTCAGCCTCCCAAGTAGCTAGGACTCTTAACTCTATCCTACCCAAATTCTTACCTTACACTCCACCAACTTAGGGCCTCTTGCAGGAAAAGAAGCCTGAGCCACTTCCATACTATGAGGCTTCGTGTGTACTCAGAGATGAAGAATTGCCAAAATACAGCTCAAAAAGTGGCATTTTCAAATAACAATGTAAACAACTCAATGACATAGCTCAAAATTAAAATGTGACATTACAAGGCCATTCGAAGGTTAATTTCCTGGATCTGTGAACTAAATTAATCCATTATTAATCCACGGTACTCTAGAGGTTCTGAGATCTGGGTTGGGTGCAAGTTTCAAGGTATATGAGGAAAGCCATCTTTAGAAGGTGCTGGTGTATCTGGGACCTGGGGGATAAACTGCTATAGAAATTGGTCACAATCTGAGTCGAGAGCCCTGCTGGCCCACACGGGATATGCCATGCCCTGCCCGATGACAGCTGGGTTTCACTGGGACTTAGGCAAAGACTACCTGGTCTCTGGCGCCCACGTGGTCCAAGTTGCCACGGTGACGTCAGGACAGCGTGGAGACGTCACCGGACGGGTGCCGCGGTGACCTCACGACGGTGTGACGTACCCATGACGACGACACCACGATTCAAAGCAGGTGTTCGAGTTACCCTTCCCGCCAGCCACTCACCTGTCCCCGTCTTCCACGCCCTGAGGGCTGCGGCTCTGGAAACGGGGATACAGGAGCCTGGCGGCGCCGAAGCATCCGCGCAGGCCAAGACGACTCCCCAGGCCCCACACAGCCATCAGCCAGGGTTCTTGACGGGAGCTGACCCCGCCAGGTTCCCGTCCAGGCCCCGGAGTGACTCCACCCACAGCTGGCCGCGCCACCGCTCAGCTGTCAATTTTCATTGGCTCGAGGTTCTCGCCCCAGGGCGGGACACTCCCAGGGACTTGTTTTCCATTGGTTTGACGGAAGAAGCGGGGCGGGAAAACCCGTGCCGGCTTGGCTGCATCACCACCAATGTTCAAGCCTATTGGTAAAGGTACGCCAGACTTGCGCGCTCTGATTGGCTGGGCTGAAGGCCAAGGCCTCCTCCCCTTGAGGCACGGGCGCTCTAGGCTGCAGGAGTCCGGGAGCTGCTCCGGCTGCGGCGCGGAGTGGCGGCAGCCGGGGCGTGGGCGGCGGCGGCGGCGGCGGCGGCGGCGGCGGCGGCGGCGGCGGCGGCGGCGGCAGGTGAGAGGCCGGGGTCGCGGGGCCGGGTGGCGCGAGGTCCTCGACCCAGGACGGCCCTGAGCCGGGCGCCCAGTTTCTGTGGCTCAGTTTCTCCAGCTCTGAGAGTCAGCCCCGAGGGGTCGGCGACCTCAATCTGACAGTCGTGATTTTGAGCTTGGGACAAGCAAGGGGATTCCCCGCTCTGAGCCTCAGTTTTTCTAAGAAGTGGGGATCACGATAGTACTTAGCTCTTAGTGCACTTGAATCTTAGCGTAAGGTAATCGACGTAAAACCTTAAGCGGAGAATAATTTTGCGTTATTTATAAAAGTGTAAATTGCACACACCTGTAGACCCTGCAAGCCCCTTTCTAGGACTCTGTCCTGCAGAAATACTCATTTAAGTGTGCAGAACGAGGCGTACTGGGTGTTTTCTGTGGCCTTGTTTATAATTGTGACACGTTGGAAACAGCCTAAATGTCCAGCAAAGAGTTCTTTCTGCTCCATGATTTCATGTAATTTCTACTTTCAGTAGTAGTAGTTGTAAAAGCTGAAACGAAGAACAGAGCCAGTAATAAGTAGCTCTCAGTAATTGAATGATTAGTAGGTGCCAGACACTGCTAAGTGTTTCCCTTGAGTTAATTTAACCTTCCTAACATCCACTGAGGTGCGTACGGTTATTTTCTGTCCATATAACGTGTTGGGAAACCGATGTTCATACCCGTTTAAGTGAGTTAGCTAAGACGACATCACTGGGGAGTGGAATAGCTGGGATTTGAACCCAGATCTGTTGGATGTGTCCAGTTGATTGCTGCATTGCTTTTCTGGCACATAGCAAGTGCTGGACGGTGACTACCTTTTTTGTTATGATGGGCTTGAACTAGGTGTTCTAAGATCTCTTCCTGATGGTTCTGACATCTGGAGATCTTTGCTCTTCTCACTGGCTTTCCCTTTTAGGATTCCCAGGAGCCATGTTGTCAGAAGTCCTACTGGTGTCTGCTCCGGGGAAAGTCATCCTTCATGGAGAACATGCCGTGGTACATGGCAAGGTACAAAGCCGTTAGAGCCTTTAAGGATTGGGTACCCATTCTCCCTGATACTAATTTTGCAGGACACCTGAAGCACAGCTTGGGAGCAGATCAGAGATGTCAGTTTCTCCCCAACCAGGCAAGGAAAAGGTATCCTATGCCCACTGAAGGGATTCTCAGGCCTCACTCGGTATGATAGCAAAAAGATGGTATATAAAGCCCTATGAGTGGAATGAGATCACCTAGGAGTGAGCTTTGATGCAGAAGGAAGAGGTTTGAGAACTGAGCTCCGGGGCACTAAGACATGGAAAAGTTGGAAGGATGATCTAGCAAAGGAGTCGGAAACATCCATTACCTCGTTTTACCCTTACCCCCAAGGCATACCCCTTTATTATCCTGTTTTACAAATGTGCAAACCGAGGCTTAGGAGAGAAGTGGTAACTTGATCCAAGTCCTGTATACCTTGGTAGAGCTTGGTGTGAACCTAAGTCTGTCTTAGGTTCTACTCCTGCTGCACTCTGCTTTTTTTTTTTTTTTCCTGAGACAGAGTCTTGCTCTGTCGCTGGAGCGCAATCTTGCGATCACGGCTTACTGCAGCCTCCAACCTCAGCCTCCCGAGTAGCTGGGACCACAGGTGTGTACCACCACACCCCACTAATTTTTTCCTTTATTTTTTTTGTAAAGACGTGGTTTGACACCAGGCTGGTCTCAAACTCCTGGGCTCAAGTGATCCTCCTGCTTTGGCCTCCCAAACTGCTGGGATTACAGATGTGAGCCACCACACCTGGCCTCTCACTGCTATTCTTTATATTCTTATATTTCTCATTGAAAACATGGTGATTATGGGGAAGTGATTCCTTGGTGTTGAGAACCTGTGAAATTTTTCAGGAAGAAGGCAAAGTGGATGTTAACTTTTAGTTGATCGATGGTGGCTGTCCCCAGGCTTAGTGGGAGAGCATGCCAAAGTTGATTAGCAGTGTCTGGCAAGGGCATGGCTGGGAGTGGCCTCTGTGCTCATGTTTGCTCTCTTGTTAGCATGTGGGCCCTGGCTCCTTTGCCACTCACCCTCAGGCTTATTGCTTTTGTCCTTTATTCTACAGGTTGCACTGGCTGTAGCCTTGAACTTGAGAACATTTCTCCGGCTTCAACCCCACAGCAATGGGAAAGTGGACCTCAGCTTACCCAACATTGGTATCAAGTGGGCCTGGGACGTGGCCAGGCTTCAGCTACTGGACACAAGCTTTCTGGGTGAGTGCAAGGAGGAGAAATCGTAAGAGCCTTACCAGAGGTGGTGAGAGCCTACAGAGAGGGCAGCTGGCCAGGTATTCCAGGCTGTCCCCAAGGGAGCCAGGGGCCAGCTATTGCCAGCGTGTTTTCTTCCCTGACCTTATAAAATTACCTTCACTTATTTATTTTTTTTAATTTAAAAGTGTAAAACAATGCATTGGATCTGTGTGGGCTGTTGTGGACAGATCATCAAGGCCTATTGTTGAGTGAAAAAAAATGCAAAACAGCAAACATAGGTATTTAAGTATAAATATGTGTATAAATGATAGAAAAGATCTCGGGGACATAGACATCAGTTTGGCTGTGGCAATTAGTTCTCTTGGGAGATACCTGGGGCCAGAGAGTAGACAAAGGGACACATGTTTTAAATGAGGAGAATATATTGGCATTTTGTATAATTAAAAATTAATAAACGTAGGCTGGGCACAGTGGCTCATGCCTGTAATTCCAGCACCTTGGGAGGCCAAGGTGGGCAGATTACCTAAGGTCAGGAATTCGAGACCAGCCTGGCCAACATGGTGAAACCCTGTCTCTACTAAAAATACAAAAATTAGCTGAGTGTGGTGGCACACACCTGTAATCCCAGCTACTCAGGAGGCTGAGGTAGGAGAATCGCTTGAACTTGGGAGGCGGAGGTTGCAGTGAGCCGAGATCGTCCATTGCACTCCATCTCAAAAAAAAAAAATTAATAAAAGTAAAAGTTACCTATGCTTATTATTGGAAGATATGGTCAATGCTGGGACATTGTATTTTTTCTTTTTTTTTTTTTTGAGACGGAGTCTCACTCTGTCCTCCAGGCTGGAGTGCAGTGGCGTGATCTCAGCTCACTGCAAGCTCCACCTCCCGGGTTCACACCATTCTGCTGCCTCAGCCTCCCGAGTAGCTGGGACTACAGGCGCCCACCACCACGCCCGGCTAATTTTTTGTATTTTTGTAGACACGGGGTTTCACCATGTTAGCCAGGATGGTCTCAATCTCCTGACGTCGTGATCCGCCCGCCTTGGCCTCGAAAAGTGCTAGGATTACAGGCGCGAGCCACCGCACCCGGCGGGACATTGTAATTTTTAAAATCACTTATTATTCCCCTTCTCCTTTCTCTGACCCCAGTAATGACTCCAAGCATTTTGGCATTAATCCTTCTGGGTGATTTTCTGTAGATGGATAGAAAGATTGATAGAGACAGGGAGATATCTTGGTTTTTTAACCAAAATTGGGTCAGGCCATATAAACCATTCAGAAATACCTGTTTTTTCTTTTGTGTGTCAGGTGTGTGTGCTGATTTTTGGCAGCACTGTGAAGATTTCATCCATTCATAAGCAGGCCAGCTTTTTCCATCAGTGGAGTCCCCCGCACCTGCCCCAGAGCTGACGTGTGTTTTCTGTTCTCAATTTACTGTCTGCTCCCTGGGCTGAAGCCTTGCTTTTTGGAACAGTGTTTCTCAGCCAGGGTGGAATAAATGAGAATCTTCTTGGGTTTTTTTCTTAGACTACACCTGAACCATTGATACCTGCTTCCCATTCCCCGTGAGAAACTACAGTCACTCCCATATGCCATATGGGGATGGAAGAAGAGCTGAAAATTCTCATTTCACTTGCTGTTGAGACAGGGTCTTGCTGTGTTGCCCAGGCTGGTCTGGAACTCCTGGCCTCAGGAGTTTTCCCACTTTCCCAAAGTGCTGGGGTTACAGGTGAGAGCCACTGTGCCTGGCCAAAATCCTCATTTTAGAACAACCCTTTTTTTTTTTTCTTTTTTTTGAGATGGAGTCTCACTCTGTCGCCCAGGCTGGAGTGCAGTGGCGCGATCTCGGCTCACTGCAAGCTCCACCGCCTCCCGGGTTCACGCCATTCTCCTGCCTCAGCCTCCCGAGAAACTGGGACTACAGGCGCCCGCCACCACACCTGGCTAATTTTTTTTCGTATTTTTAGTAGAGATGGGGTTTCACCGTGTTCGCCAGGATGGTCTCGATCTCCTGACCTCTTGATCCGCCCGCCTCGGCCTCCCAAAGTGCTGGGATTACAGGCGTGAGCCACCATGCCCGGCCTAGAGCAACACTTTTTAACCTCATCATATCTTGGAATCACCCAGGAGTTTTTGTGATTGTGGATGTTGTTTTTGTTTTTACCAATACAGATGGACTTCTGGCTCTGCCCCTGTCTTATTGGGAGTTGGTAGTGGTGATAGGAGTTTTTGAAAGGGTTTCCCTGGACAATTCTAGGGACGCCTCAGTTAAGAGGCACTCCTTTGGAGCGTGCGTCTGGAGCATTCCAGCCAGAACACATGGAACTTGCTTTCCATAGTGCACAGGGCCACTCAGCCAGACCAGAAATGTCCCGTGAGAACCAGCTGCAACTTGTGTATGTCAGTAGCTTGGGGTGGAAGCAGCCAGGTGTGGGGGACCATGTCTCGGACCACTCCGACTCCCTTGGTGACCCTGGGCAGGTCACTTCACCCTCTGGGCCTGGGAGCAGAGACCTGTTTCCTGACTGAGGGCTGCCGTGAGGATCTGACGATACTGGAGGCGGGCACTAGGGGTGCGACACAGGTGCAGTATGTAGGTAAGGGCGTGTGAGTTGCGGAGCCTTGGGAGACACACCATTTTCTAGGTTGCAAAGATCTACCATCTTTTGTTCAGTGTCCTTTTGCTCCCTCCTGATAGTCATAAACATTGAACATTTTTTTTTTTAGAGGCAGGATCTTACTATGCTGCCCAAGCTAGTCTCAAATTCCTGAGTTCAAGTGTTCCTTCTGCCTCAGCCTCCTGAGTAGCTGGGAATATAGGCACCTGCCACTGCACCCTGCTACTACAGTGAGCACTTACTGGACACTTATGCATGCCAGGCACTAAGTGTGTTCACATATGTTAGCACACTTAGAATTCTCCAGCATTCCCTGGGAATAGGTGGTGGTATTCATCCCCATTGTACAGATTTGAAAATTAAAGTTCAGAGGTCCAGTGGCTCAGGTTACACTTGTTGGTGATACTGAAAGGATTCAGACCTCGGTTTCTCCTAGCCCCAACATCCAGGCTCTTAACAACTGTTCCATCTCGATTACAGAGCTCTGAAATACCCGGGTTCTCAATAATGTCATGACTTGGCCATTTGAGTATATCATTAATCCATTCAACACATATTTACCCAGCACTTAATCAGTGCCTGAAATTTCCTAAGACACGCACGCCCAATTCCATTTCCCAGTCCTTGAGAATCTGACCTGAGGCTCAGCGAGTGATTTGTAAAGGTAAGCTGGCCAGACAGGCTCTGCTTTCTCAGTGTCTCAGAGGAAGGTGGCCCAGGTTCCTGCACATCCCTGGGAAAAACCTGCCTCACCCTCCCCTTCTGCCCAGGCAACGCCTCGCATTTACGCTGTCCTATTCCTGATGATTAGCTTTTGGAAGAGGGAAATATTTTGGGTGGTAACTTAATACTCCTTTGATTTTTGGTTTTATACAATGGAAGGTGAAACCTAGGCCCTTGTGTGATTGAGCCAGCATTCTCTGTGTGTGTCTGTGTGTGTGTTTTAAGGCTACTTTTTTGGTTTTTTTTTTGAGACAGGGTCTCACTCTGTCATGCAGGATGGAGTGCAGTGGTGCGACCACAGCTCACTGTTGCCTCGACCTCCTGGGCTCAAGCGATCCTCCTGCCTCCGCCTTCCAAGTAGCTGGGACCACAAGTGTGCACCACCATGCCTGGCTAGTTTTTGTACTTTTTGTAGAGTTGGGGTTTTGCCATGTTGCCCAGAGTTTAGTCTCAAACTCCTGGGCTCAAGTGATCTGCCCACCTCAGCCTCCCAAAGTACTGGAATTACAGGCGTGAGCCACTGCACCTGGCCTTAAAACTACGGTTAATTAAGCACTTACTACATGCCAGGTGTTGTGCTAAAAAGTTTACACACCCTATTTAACTTTACATTCATGACAACCTTGTGAAGACGTACTGTCGTTATTCCTGTTTTACCAAGGTGGAAAACAGGTTCAGGAAGGTTAAGTCACGTGGCTAGTAAATGGCACACTTGGGACTCAAACCTAAGTCTGCCTAAAGCCAATGAACAGACTTGGGTGTGGTGTTCAGACCATAAATTCATGTCCATCCATGTTCCGATTCCAGTGACTAGCTGACTTTCTGTATTCTGTTGTTTGTAAAACACCAGAGGCCCTCTCACCCACTTGTGTTTGCTTGTTTGCCTGTGAAACAGAGCAAGGTGATGCCACAACACCCACCCCAGAGCTAGTGGAGAAGCTGAAGGAGGTGGCAGGCTTGCCTGACGACTGTGCTGTCACCGAGAGCCTGGCTGTGCTGGCCTTTCTCTACTTATACCTGTCCATCTGCCGGAAGCAGAGGTGTGTGCGCGGTCTGGGGAGGGAGTCCAGATTCAGCCTCCCATGGAGAAACAGGAAGGGTTTCTGTCATTGCTCCTGGAGAACGCACATGCTCTCTTCTAGAGCAGCAGCCATTGGCTGTCCTCACCACATGCCAGGCACCCTGCCAGACATGGTAATATGGCGTGCCTTTTTTTTTTGAGACAGGATCTCTCTGTTGCCCAGGCTGGAGTGCTGCAGTGGTATGATCTCAGCTGACTCCAGCCCTGACCTCTCAGGCTCAAGTGATCCTTCCACCTCAGCCTCCCAAGTAGCTGGGACCACAGGTGCACATCACCATGCCTGGCTAATTTTTAAATTTTTGTAGAGATGGAATTTCACTATGTTGCCCAGGCTGGTCTCAAACTCCTGGGCTCATGTGATCCAACTGCCTTGGCCTTTGAAAGTGCTGGGATTACAGGCATGAGCCACCGCACCCGGCCCCAACCAGCCCCTCTGTTTTTTTTTTTCTGTCCAGAACCCAAAGGGAAAACCTCAAGGGGCAGCCCTTCCCTTGAGCAGCAGATGCTGGTTCAGTGGCCAGGCCCTATGCTCAGGACACATTTGGAAATGGCCTGATAATTGCTGTCCAAAGGAGAATTTCAACTTGAGAGGCATGTCCCCTTACGTGGGTAAAGGGCATTCCAGAATCTTCCAGTCTGGGTGGGGTGGGTGTGTGGAATTTGGAGACATGCATTCAGTATTGCAATTTTCGTATTTAGGAAATGGGAGAAGTACTTCTTGGAAATTACCAAACACGAAGTTTGACAGTTCTCATTTAGGGGAAATACATGTAAGATAAAGTGATTCGGACCTTTCTGGTGATCAAAAGCAGACCCACGTTACACACGGTTGGGGAGCACCATCTGGCGGGAGAGGCCCCCGGTGAACACACAATCCTAGCGTGCTGTGATGAGGCAGTGGTGGAAGGAGGGCATGCAGGAGGTCCTAGAAGGGGAGCCAGGAGGGTCTTTGTGGGTAGCTAGGGAAACTCACAGTGGAAGCGACATTTGATAAGGCCTTGAAAGATGGGTAGGGATTTCTCTGGGGGTAAGGGGGTGCAAGGCTATTGCAGGCAGAGGGGCTAGCATGTGCTCAGAGCAGGCCCACAGAAACACCTAGCATGTGAGCACAGGAAGGAGGTGGGAGAAAGGGGTTGACGGCTTGCCAGGTGCTTCTGGGAAGGGCTCTGGTTGGGTGACCCAGGGATTTAAATGAACTTGGTGCCTGTTTCCTAGTTGTCTGATTCACCATGAGCTCCTGATGTTCAGTAGGGATACATTTGGGGTCGTGAAGTCTCCCCCAGTTGAGAAAACTGGACCAGATGCTTGGAATCAGGCCTAGTCCCGGCCCCTGGTTCAGTGCTGGCATCCCACTGCCCTGTAGGAGAGTCACGTTTTGCACCCTGGTGTGTTTCAGGGCCCTGCCGAGCCTGGATATCGTAGTGTGGTCAGAGTTGCCCCACGGGGCGGGCTTGGGCTCCAGCGCCGCCTACTCGGTGTGTCTGGCAGCGGCCCTCCTGACTGTGTGCGAGGAGATCCCAAACCCGCTGAAGGATGGAGATCGCGTCAACAGGTAACCGTGGTCCTCACCTGGCCACTGTCCCTCCCACGTGGCAGGACGGGGCGTGGCTTCTGTCACGGGGACCTCACCACCTCCCTGTGAGGTGGGAGGGGTCTTGGTGGCCATTTTACAGATGAGGAAGCTGAGCCCCGAGAAGTCAAATGGCTGGCCCAGGGCCACACAGCTAGTGTTGGCAGAGTGGGATTTGAACTCAGTCTGAGCTTTTCTCTCCTGCTCTCCACCACCTCTGCTCACCCCCATCTTGGCTCTGTTGGGTTCAAGCGCCCATGGTATGGTAGAAAGAGCTGGAGTCCAGATCTGGAGGGCAGTGGGTTAGATGAACTCTCCCACCTCTGCATTGACTCACGCTAGGACAGTGTCCTCTGTATGGTAATGACGGTGCCCTAGGGGTGACTGTCCAGTTTTACCACACGGTTATGAAAGACACTAGAGTGTGCTGAGAAATCCACGTTAGGGGATGTGTCCATTAGACTAGGGCATTTCTCCTCCTCCCGGGCCATCTCCATGAAGGGCATGCCACCTCTCTGTGTTCCTACTGGTGGGGGACCACGTGAGTCAGTGAGGCCTGTCAAGACAGGCTTGACCACAGACCATTTCCGTCATTAGGAGAATGTGCCTTGAGAAGCCACCCAGTGCACAGAGGTTATGCAGTTTGTCCCGGGACCAGGAGTTGTGGATGAGGCCCCTAAATGCAGAGCTCTGTCCTCTTCCTGGGCTTGTTTTTTTGCTGCTGTTGTTTTCTGAGCTTGGTTTTGTTTGTTTGTTCATTTGTTTTTTTGAGATGAAGTCTCATTCTGTCACCCAGGCTGGAGTGCAGTGGTGTGATCTTGGCTCACTGCAAGTTCTGCCTCCAGGTTCAAGTGATTCTCCACAGGCCGACAGACTGGCCCTGCCTTTCAAAAGGCAGAGGGTGACTGTGCGTGCGTGTGCATGCATGCATGTGTGTTCTTATGCTGCTTCCAACCATTTCTCCCACTTTGCCCTGAAGGCCAGTCATTCCTTCTCAGAACCCGTAGGGAGAGTAGACCCCCCCACCCCACCCCACCCCACCCTACCCCGCCCATCATGTGTTTCTGAGTCGGAAAGGACTGGAGCCCAGTCTCCTTTGCAGACTCAAATCTGAGCCTCCTAAAAAACTGTGTAGAGCAGGAGGAAGACTCACATTTGTTGAGAGGGCCAGGCCCTGGGCTAGATCAACTGCCTGAGTTACCTTCCCCCACCTCCATCACTCACTTCTTCCCACGCACGCTGCCACCTGTTGGTCCCTGGAACAGGCCAGCCAGCTCTGGTGTGGTTCCAGTGCTGCACAGGTGGTGTGTCTGCAATGCACCCCACACACACCTTGCTCAGCTGGCTCCCCTTGTCCTTCAAGCACCCCACCCCCGCCCCCACAATTCAGCCCATAGTACTCTTACAGAAACACCTGCTTTGTCCCCGCCCCCACAATTCAGCCCATAGTACTCTTACAGAAACACCTGCTTTGTAGTCACATATTGCAGTGTCATGGATTTGTTTGTATTTGAATCCTGATTGCTTACTGACCTTCACTTTCTCCATTAGACTCTAATCTCTAAGAAGTCAGGGACCTTGTCTGTTTTGCTTCTGACTAGGAGCTTAGTCACAGGCATGTAGCAGTTGCTCAATAAATGCTGAATGAATGAGTGTATCTTGTTGGCACCATTAAGTTAGTAGCTAAGAGCTTGGGCTCCAAGTCAGCAGATGTGGTCCTGACCCAGCAGTGAGTAGCACGGTGATTTCCAGGATGCTGTTTGACCCATCCAAGCCTCAGTTTCCGCTTCTGTAAGAAGCAGGATAATTATCGTACCTTCCCTGTAGGGCACAATTGGGAGGATTATGGACCATTTTTCAATGGTCCATTTAAGAAAGCATTTAGCACAATGTTTGGCACATGCTAATCTAGTATGTTAACTGATGTTGACTCATTATTAATCATAGTCTCACAGCTACCATGTGAGTTGCCAAGTCCGTAAAAATCCTTGTTTGGCAGATGAGGAAAGAGACTCAGAGCAGGTAATTGACTTGCTCAGGGCTCCACAGCAAGTAAGTGATTGAACCAGGCCCCCCAGGTGCTGTGACCCCAGACGGCCTATTTTTTGGGGAGCACATCCTATCTCCTGGGCATTACACAAAGCGCTTGTGTGTTTTTTCCATCTCAATATCCTCAGTGAGATAGACACTTTTTTTTTTTCTTTTTTTTGAGGCGGAGTCTTGCTCTGTCCCCCAGGCTGGACTGCAGTGGCGCGTTCTCGGCTCACTGCAAGCTCTGCCTCCCGGGTTCATGCCATCCTCCTGCCTCAGCCTCCCGAGTAGCTGGTGCTACAGGCGCCCGCCACCACGCCCAGCTAATTTTTTGTATTTTTTCGTAGAGACGGGGTTTCACCATGTTAGCCAGGATGGTCTCGATCTACTCACCTTGTGATCCGCCTGCCTTGGCCTACCAAAGTGCTGGGATTACAAGCGTGAGCCACTGTACCTGGCCAGATAGACACTATTACCCCTGTTTTATGGATGAGAAAACAGAGGGTTTGAGGTGGAGTGGTTGCTCACAGATGCCCGGCGAGTCAGTGGTGGGATGGGTTTCAAAAAGGGCTCACTGGCTGGGCACGGTGACTCATGCCTGTAATCCCAGCACTTTGGGAGGGTGAGGTGGGCAGATCTCTTCAGGTCAGGAGTTCGAGACCAGCCTGGCAAACACAGCAAAAACCCGTCTCTACTGAAAATGCAAACATTAGCCAGGAATGGTGGCAGGCGCCGGTAATCCCAGCTACTTGGGAGGCTGAGGCAGGAGAATTGCTTGAACCCAGGAGGCAGAGGTTGCAGTGAGCTGAGATCGTGTCACGGCACTCCAGCCTGGGGGACAAGAGCAAAACTCCATCTCAAACAAACAAAACCAGGCTAACCGCTTACTCCATAACTCTGCCACTGAGCCACGTCGTTCTCAGAGGTCACAAAACCACCTTTAGCTTCTACTGTTTCATGAGGAAGGGAATCTGCAGAAAGGAAACAAAAGCCGAGAGCAAAGAGTGGGGAAGTGGGGTTGGTCATTTTGCCTTGTTCCATACTCATGTGTTTTGGGTCTGTTCACTTAAAGTGTTTGTGAGCCCACACCTGGTCCATGGAAGGCAGTAAGGCCACATGCTGGGGAGAGATCCAGACATGGCTGGGACCAGCCTGGCCCCCCCAGGGGTGTCTGGGGCTCCTGGGATTTGAATTCATAATAATCGTGCTTTGGATCTACTTGCAGAGCCCTGGGAAACAGTCACACCTCTGCCCATTCTTCTTAAAGGCAGGCTTGGTTCAGGTGTGGGCGCTTATGCAGAGGTCTGTTATAGTGGCAGTTGCCACCTGCTGCTTGTGGACACCTTGCCATCATTAGACACACATGCAGCTAGCCTCTGAGGAGGGTGGCGTTCCCATTCTCCAGAGGAGGAGAGTGAGGCTCAGAGAGGTTAGATAACAGGCTCCGAGTCACTCAGCTAGTAAGAGGCAAAGTAGGGACCAGATGCAGTGGCTCGTGCCTGTAATCCCAGCACTTTGGGAGGCCAAGGCGGGCCAAGTTCTAGACCAGCCTGTCAATATGGTGAAACCCCGTCTCTACTAAAAAATACAAAAATTAGCTGGGTGTGGTGGCGCGCACCTGTAGTCCCAGCTACTCGGGAGGCTGAGGCAGGATAATTGCTTGAACCCAGGAGATAGCCGAAATTGTACCACTGCACTCCAGCCTGGGCAACAGAGTGAGACTCCGTCTTAACAAAAGAAAAAAAAAAAAAAGAGGCAAAGTAGGACCGTGGGAGTCCAAAGCCTGGGCTGTTTTGACTGCGCCAGGTGGGCTTCAGAGGGAAGGGCAGGTTCAGCACGCTCTGTAGCTGGAGAGATTCAGAGTGGACTTGTTCTTTCTGAGCTCAAGGGCCCAAACTCCTATGCCCCTTGGCCTCCCCTAGCACAGCCCCAGGTGACCCCTCCCCAGCCCCACTCCTCACTGCCACAGTACCAAGATGAACATCTGTGTCTTCAGGTGGACCAAGGAGGATTTGGAGCTAATTAACAAGTGGGCTTTCCAAGGGGAGAGAGTGATTCACGGGAACCCCTCTGGAGTGGACAATGCTGTCAGCACCTGGGGTAGGTGCTGCCTCGGGTTTATTTTTGTTATTTTAAAAATGCTTATTAGAATGGTCGGTGCCCAAGAGTCTGTGCTGGTTTGGGAGGAATTGAATCAACGAATTCTGGGAAAAATGAGGGGGGATGGGGAGAAATCTTGGGGCCCTGCCTCACACCCCCTGAATCAGAATCTCGGGGGTAGGACTGGGGCCTGGGAAGCTGCAGCCTCCACGAGCTCCCCAGGGGAGTTGTAGGTTCAGGATGCAGAGCCGTTGCCGTGGAGTTTGCAGACTGCCCAGGTGGCCTCCCCTCTGGTCAGGACTCTTGCTTACAGGGCCCAGATGCTGTGTCCCGGGCCCCACATTCACCATGTGGCCTGTCAGGGGAAGCTGGGCAGTCCAGAAGGAGGGGGACCCAGGAATCCAAGGCCTGGCGAGGGCTTCCTGGTGGGGCTTCGGGGACCTTTTGCCCTCCTGCACCTTTTGTAACTGAAGCTGGGCTGACTCGTTACTTAGTCTGTTTCCTGAATGGAGCAAAGTGAACCCAACCCAAAGTTCAGCCTCTCTCCCAAGTAGCACAGGTGTGTTAGCTTTTCCCACAGCTCTGACCTGCTGACTTTTCTCTTTAGGAGGAGCCCTCCGATACCAACAAGGGAAGATTTCATCTTTAAAGAGGTAACTTGGGGGTGGAGCAGCACATTCAGCCATGGCTGCATCGATGTGTGCAGGGAGCAGAGCTCTGCACCTTTGGGAAGTACCATAGGAGGCAGGTGTCCCTGGCTCTTCGTCCCCCAGTGTGGACCTCACAGTCCACTAGCTGCAAGGAAGGAGGGGTGGTGGGGAGACCTGGCAGTTGGTCTTTCCTTCTCGCCTTCAGCTCTTAAACTGCAGAGCGATCAGAAAGGGAGAGTCATGCACGACTGTGCCCGTAGACCCTCTGCTGCTCATTCATTCATTCCTGTATTCGCTTAGTAAACAAGAATCCACTACTTCCTGTGTTCCCGATGATGCTGCACTGGGGTCTAGGAATGGAGAGATGAAGCTCGGGTGCAGTTTCCAAGGGCTCTCAGTCTGCTTGGGGGCTGGGGCCAGACACACACACAGAAGCCGCCACAAGACAATGTGAGCGACCCAATGATGGAGGCACGCAGGGCAGAGGCAGGATGGAAGTCAGAGGGAGGCTTGGGAGGGACTCGGAGCAGAAGTGACATCTGGAGACTCTCAGCCTGTTTTATGTTTCTGTGCCCCTCCCGCTGGAGTCATTGGAATCACAAACGTGCATGTGAGAGTCCAGCATCCTGTGTTGTTTGCACCCACGGCGGAATTGTCAGGTGCCCGGAATGAAACATGGCAGAGGGGAGCCAGGTGCCTTTTTGGCTGTTCCCTAAGCCCTCGATTAAGTTGTGGGGTGGTGATTGTCCCAGGGTGCTTTGCCTCCTCCATGGGCCTTTTTGCATCTGTAAGGGTCCTGGGGTTCTCTCTTCTTTACCCAGGGTGGTCTTCATGGATGAGTGGCAGGGTCTGGCCTGCAGCCCCCACCAGCTGGGCCACTCTAGTAGTGGCTCAATAACCTGCCTGCCACAGCGCCACACCTGGGCCCCTGGCTGGTTCTCTGGGATCTTCCTGTCCCAGCTCAGCCTCGCCTCCCTTTCCAAGGCTGTGCATCAGGGTTGGCAGCACTGGCACTGTTGAGATTGGGGGCTGGCTTATTCTTTGTGCTGGGGCCACCCTGTGTATTGCCGCCATCCCCAGCCCCTACCCACTAGATGCCAGTAGCACCCTCAGCGTGGCCATCCAAAACATCTCCAGACATTGCTCAGTGTCCCCTGGAAGGCAGAATCACCCTTGCCACCGACCTCTGCACTCCATAGAACCAGTAGGAGCATGGACCAGCTTCCTCGGGCTGCTCTGGCAGTCGTTGCCACAAGAGCCTCGGGGGCCCAGGTGGAAGCTGGTTTGCCACTGCCCTGGATCCACGTGCAACCAGAGCTGGATCGTGTGGAGGATTCTCAAACGCGTGGGCCCCGGCCTGTCCTCAGGAGCCCACGGTCTGATGGGGACGGTGGTCACTGTAATCGTCAGAAGACACCTGAAGGGTTGTGAAGCTGCTGTGGGTGACAGTGACGGCGTCATAGATGCGGCTGCGAGCCTGGGGAATCATTCATGGAGGTGGTGGCATTTCATTCCTTCAGTGTCTCCTGAGAGCCACTTGTGACCTAAGCACGGGGCTAGGCCCTGGAGCTAGAAAACTGAAGACGACATCGGCTGGGCACTGAGTGTACGGTCTACTAGGGGCATCAGGAGATGAATGAGGAGGCTTTCCAAGGGGGGCGGGTGGGGGAATGGCCAGGCATTGCTGGTGTGCTCAGTGGAGGTGCTGGGTCTGCAGGCCTAGGTTTCAGTCCAGCTCTCCCACTTGCCAGCTGGCGCCCTCAGGCATGTCACTTCTCCGGGACCTCCAGCTCCTCGTTTATGTAAGGGGATCCTGAACATACAATCAGAAGCGGCGGCTCTGAAGTGCTTAGCTCTGCTGGCCGAGTTTATTCATCCTTTGCACAAGTACCACTGAGCACCTACTGTGTGCTGAGCACCGGGGCCACCACAGGGAACGAAACAAAGCCCCGCCTCCAAGGAACTCATACTTTGTTGGGAGAGGAGAAAAAGTCAGTTGCTCTGTGAGAGCGTGTCAGGCAATCTTAAGCACCTTTAGGAAACAAGGCAGGGTCAGAGGCTACAAAGGGAAGGGGGGCTGCTAACAAAGGAACATTGGACAGGGACCTGAATGAGTCACACCGCTATGGGACGGGGCTGGTCCCAAGCAGAGGAAGTGTGGTGCAAAGATCCTGAGGCAGAAGCATGCTGCCTGGCATGTCACACAGTAGCTGGGAGGTCAGGGTGGCTGAGCCGAGTGAGCAGCCCGGGGGAGGGAGGAGAATAGAAGAGGCTGGGGCCATGGCCAAGCCGAGATCACAGGAGCGTTTACCAGGCTTACCCCCGAATGGTGGCCGCTGGATGGCGTATGAGCCCTGGATCTGGTGGGGCTGGTGACAGGCCTGTCTGCAGAGGACTTGTCTAAGAAAGATGAAGATGCAACACCCAAACTCCTCCCGCCTGGCTGGATGAGAGCATGGAGCAAACCAACCTTTGCTGCCTGCTGTGGGGTGCCACGGGAGCAGATGGCGGCTTCACAGAGAAGCTGGGGGCCAGACTCCACGTTAATCCCACGGATGGGTTAAGGAGCTTCCCCCCCGCCACCCCCGCCAGCCATGCGTGGTGCCTCACTGTAAAGAAAAAATGCATTGTGACGTGGATCAAGATGCGGCCTCCCAGAGCGCTGTGCTTTTGAGGAATGGCTTGTCTTAGAAGGGAAGAGAAAAGCCAAATAGAACGTTCATCTTTTGTAAAGTTAAAAAAAAAAGGGGGCCAGCCTCCAAGACTGAGAATCGATATTAATTTCATGGGCTCATGGGCAGTGAGATGAAGCAGGCTTGTGGCAGCCCTTTCCAGCCCTATTGGATTTTACAGTCTTGAACTGTGAAGAGAGCGAATAAAGGTATCAAGGGCTCTGCCCGTCTCCAGCTGTCTCGGGCCAGAGCTCATCTAAATCCCCCACCCTCCATCCCAGCCTACAGTCCTCTGAAAGGCAGGTTGGATGGCAAGAAATGTTGGCTTGGACACTACAAGGACAACTGGGATTGTGGCTTTAGGAGGGATTTACGCAGCTCCTCGGGGGCAGGTGAGGACCACGGGGTCATGCTAGAGAGTCAGCTCAGCGTGGCTGCCTGGGACACGTCTATGCACCAGGGGGCAGCCAAGGGGATGACTGACTCTAACTACACCTGGTTTTAGACCAGGGCCACTCGTCCGGGCGCCATCGAGGTAGGGTAAGAATGGGCCCAGCGTGCTGGGGACAGTCCTGCCTGCATTTACCGAGCCGATGCGTGGCACTGCCCGCATCAGCTAGCCTGGGCATCTTCCCTCTGCGTGGTCCATTTCAGGGCTTGTTGTTTGGTCTAAAACTCCAGCTTTGTGAGGGTGACCCATGCACGTGAGCCTCCGCCCCTCCTTGTGCTTTGCCGTAGCCACTTTGGATTTCTCACTGGATGACTGTGCCGGGTTCCACCACCTCCAGGCTCACACAGGCTGCTCCGACTGCCAGAAATCCTCACCCTTCTAGCTTTGCTTTGGTGGCTTCTTACCCTTCCTCAGTTCTCAGTGTCCACGTCATGCCAAGAAAACCTTCTCGGACTTCTGTCTCCCCTCTCCCCTCCCTGGCCCTGGCCCCGGTCCCGGCCCTGAGGCCAAGCTGTGCCTAGTATGTTGTAGGCCCCAGCTGAAGTTGAATGAATAAATGAGCGAGAAGCCAAGGGGCCTGGGATGGAGGCACAGCTGTGGCCTGCAGTGGGAGTCTCATGTTCCCCCAATCCAATGTCACCTCTTGTGCCTCCGTTCTTCCTCTGTATCAGGGTGGGGCAGCTTCCCAGACTGCTCCCAGTCCTGACCCAGCTCCTCCACCTTGAGTTCAGTGTGGACCTTCCTCCTCTTCACCCTGCAGGCCGCCGGCTCTCCAGATCCTGCTGACCAACACCAAAGTCCCTCGCAATACCAGGACCCTCGTGGCTGGTGTCAGAAACAGGCTGCTCAAGGTGACTCTTGTTCCCTTCCTGGGCAGGTTTCAGGGTGGCCAGGACACAATTACATCTGGATTTTCCCGGTTTCCCTCTGGCTGATGGATTCTAGGGGGTGTGGTGGGCCTTAGGGGCCCTTAGAGAGGTGGTTTTGGCAGAAAGGAAGGTACCATCCATACCCATAGCCTGGCCAGGAAAACAACAGTGATCGGGCTCGTTAGACACACTGACTTTGCAGCTGGGAAGGCAAAAACCAGGCCCAGAAGAGAGGCAGTTTCCCCAGAGGATGGGCGCAGGCTGTGGGAACACCTCCTCCCTCCACCCCACTACTGGGGCAGCTGTGCTGCATCTGCCTCCCCCAGGCCTCACCAGCCATTCCTTCTTTTTTTCTCTAGTTCCCAGAGATCGTGGCCCCACTCCTGACCTCGATAGATGCCATCTCCCTGGAGTGTGAGCGTGTGCTGGGAGAGATGGGGGAAGCTCCAGCCCCAGAGCAGTACCTCGTACTAGAAGTAAGAGGCTGTCTGCAGGAACCAGGGTTACTGAGTCCACACCACTGTCCAAGGCAGTGGCTCTGCAATCTGGCTGTGCTCAGAATCCCCTGGAAGCCAGCACATAGAGGCCAGGCCCTGCCTCTGGCCTATGCTCTCAGAAGCCCCTGGCCTGGGCCCAGGTCTGTGTGTGCCACACAAGCGTATGTTATTTTCAGGCCTCTTCCCAGGTGATTCTGAGTAATTGGGAGAGAGCAGGGAAGGAGGTCAGGGCCTGGCTCGTGCTAAGTGCAGTGGAACAGGTTTGGGGTCACGTCTAAGGAGCTCCGGCGCACGTAGGTAGATGGGGATGTGGCTGATAACAGTGCTCTGTCGGTTCAGGGGTGACTTCTTACTTGGTCCTTCTCCTGCTATTGCTAACTTCATGGGTGCATTCAACAACTACTTGTCAACTGCCTGCTTTGGGTCAGACAGGTCCTAAAATTGTTTTTTCATCATCATAACCCCATCCACTGCCATTTGCATAATTCTAGTGTACAGGTTGTGACCTCGTACTTTGGGTGTGGTTAGGCCTGTGAGTGAATCCCAGCTTCACTTCTGCTGGATGTGTGGCCTCGCTGGAGTGTCTTAAGAATGCTCAGATTAGACGGACGCAGTGGCTCACCTGTAATATTAGCACTTTGGGAGGCCAAGGCAGGTGGATCGCTTAAGCCCAGGAGTTCGAGACCAGGCTGGGCAACATGGTGAAACGCTGTCTCTACAAAAAATACAAAAGTTAGCCAGACATGGTGGTGCGTGCCAGTAGTCCCAGCTACTCGAGAGGCTGTGGCAAGAGGATCACTTGAGCCCAGGAGTTCAAGTTTGTACCCTGGGCGACAGAGTGAGACCTTGTCTCACAAAAAAAAGAACACTTAGAGTCTCATGGGTGACACACAAGCACAATGGTGTGCCATGAGCTTAGGGAAGCAAAGGGTCCAGGCTGCCCCTGGACACAGTCTAGCTGGCCTGGTGAATATGGACTGATGTTAGCCAGCTGGCTGCCCTTGCGGAGTGAGAGGATCGGGTGGCCCCCAGCTGCCGTGGCTCTGCAGCAGCCATCAGTGAAGGGACAGGAGGGGACCCCTTTGAGAGGGGTGTGCGGTCTCCATGTCACCACAGTCCCCCCTACTGTGTAGTCATTGCCTGGTGCCTTTTTACAAATCATTTTTTTCACTTGATCCTCACACCCACCTCCCTGTGAAGTAGGTGTCTTACCCCTATTTCACAGATGTCAAAACTGAGGTCGAAGGAGGACTTCCCCCAAGGTTATCCGACTAGTAAGTGGCCGAGCCAGGGGTCCAGCTGACAGACTTGTCTGTCCCTTTATTCAACAGATCTGTTGTGAGCACCTACTATGTGCCAGGGTAGAGCCTCCATCGAATTCCTGCGTTTCTGCCCTCATTCCCTCAGTCTTTGTCTTCCTAGCTCTCGATTCCTTCCACGTAGAGAGGAGGGAATGCAGTCCTCCCCGAGTAGGAAATTAATAATGATAGAATACTGCCTAAAATACACCCTGTCGAGCCCCTGGAGAATGCCACAGAACAGCACGTTGATTATACATTGTGTGTATTTTTGGCTGTGGCAGCCGCTGAAATGTGCAACTCGGCTGCTGGACAGCTTTGCACTCAAACCAGCGAACTGTTCTCCTGTGTCACAACCTGTCATCTGATCCTTGACAGATTTTGGATCAGAATGTGACAGGTGTCTGGAACCTGCCTCGGCAACGTGACACCTGGCGCTCAGGCGCAGAGAGCGGCCCCCAGAAGTCTTCTCTCACATCCAGCCCATCGGGCTGCTGAGAGGCACCCGGGGCTGCCACCAGGCCATCAGGCCTGTCAGCTCATTTGTCAAAAGTGCTGAGCTTGGCGCGGGGCGCGGTATGAGGCAGGCTGTTGGGGGGGCCACCCCAACCCTGCCCAACCAGCCGTCCCCATGCGGGAGAGCCAGGTAGGCCTCCGCAGAGATGCTTCAGTGATTGGCAGCTCCTGGTATACAGGCGATCCAGGTGCCCCAGAACAGAGCTTCACACAGAAGTGAGGAAAATCAGGAGTGCTCTCAGAGGCAGGGTAGACAGGAGCTTCACGTCAGGCAGACCCGCCTTCCAGTGCCAGCTTGGTACCTACTAGCTCAGTGATAGTGGGCAAGTCACTTCTCTGAGCCTCTGTTTCCCCTTTTGTAAAGTGGGGATGATGGTAAGGTACCCATAAAAATACTAATAGCACATATCTTGTGCCGGGCATTGAACAGAAAACTCACCTTGTTTCATCTCAGGGCAAAGAAGCAGATACTTTTTTTTTTTGAGAAAGAGTCATCTTGCTCTGTTGCCCAGGCTGGAGTGCAGTGGCGCAATCTCGGTTCATTGCATCTTCCACCTCCCAGGTTCAAATGATCCTCATGCCTCAGCCTCCTGCCTAGCTGGGATTACAGGCATGCGCCAACATACCTGGCTAATTTGTGTATGTTTAGTAGAGACGGGGTTTTGCCATGTTGGCCAGGCTGGTCTCGAGCTCCTGACCTCAAGTGATCCACCTGCCTCAACCTCCCAAAGTGCTGGGATTAAAGGCGTGAGCCACCACACCCTGCTGAGGCAGATACTCTTATGACCCTGGTTTACAAGCAGGAGACAGACCCAGCACAGAAGACCTTGCCCGAGGACGCACGACCAAGAAGGGGCAGCGCCGAGACTCGAACACAGGCCTACTTGACTCCAAACCCCGTGGTTTTTACTTCCTGATGGCTGGGACTGTGGCTGGGCGTCCATCCTTAGAGCCCCAGCACGTTGTGGGTTAAATGAAATCTAACTACTGGGTGCCTGGGCAGTGAAAGCTGTTGAGTTTTATTTTTTTCATCCACATGCATCTTGTTGGATCCTTAGAGCAGGAAGTTTACCCTGCATAATTGAAGAGACCTAGACAAACAGCTGTTTCCCTGCTTATGGCTTTGCTGGAGTTAAACCTAGTTCTTATTCTGAAACCAGTCCCCAAGGCAGCTGTAGAGAGGCATATTATTTGAAACTTTTTCTCTTGCAAATGACAGAAATCCATTTCAACCAGGCTTTTGTAGAAAAAGGAATGTATTGGCTCCCAGCTGAGAAGACTAGAGGTAAATGGCTTCAGGTATAGCTCGATCCAGGGGCTGAACCATTGTGTCGGGAATCTGTCCATCTGCCACGTAATCTCTCACCATGTGGCAAGATAGGTCATCTTGGTGAATTGTGTCTGAATTTAATTATTTTAGCAGCTCTAGTGGAAAGGGGCAGAGAAAACCCGGGATGAGGGCGGGGGGACTGTGATTGGCCCAGCTTGGGCCACGTGCCCATCTTTGATCAGTCACCAGTGCCAGAGGCTTCTGTGACCAGCCCTAGGATATGTGCTGAGTGCTGTGGTGAAGGTATGCTCAGCTCTACCCAAGCTCCATGAGAAACGCTGCAGGGGGAAGGATTCTTTTACAAGTGGAAAGGGCCAGCGTGCCAGGTAGGCGAAACTCTTAGCTGTCTCCAGCCAACAACTGTCAGATGCACAAGGCAGGCTCAGGGGTGGGCACAGGACCTTGGCCTCAGGCAGGCCAAGTGGGAACAGATGGAACCTTCTCCCCTAGGAGCTCATTGACATGAACCAGCACCATCTGAATGCCCTTGGTGTGGGCCACGCGTCTCTGGACCAGCTCTGCCAGGTGACCAGGGCCCGCGGACTTCACAGCAAGCTGACTGGTGCAGGCGGTGGTGGCTGTGGCATCACACTCCTCAAGCCAGGTATCCCGGGGGTAGGTGGGCCAGGCTGCCAGCCTGGGCTCCTAGGAGGGGTCCACCTGGAGAATTCCCTTGAAAGGAAAAAGAGACCTGGAAACAGGTCTCAGCACTGCTGTGTGGCCTTGGGCAAGTTAATTAACCTCTCTGGGTCTTGGTTTTCCTCCTTGGTAAAATAAGGATGAGAGTATCTAGCTTGCAAGATCATTGCCCAGATTCAAGCAGGAAAGTGCACCTAGAGAGCCTGGTGCAGGGCTGGGCTGGGGCTGGGGCTCCTGTCATCGGGGCTGTCCCCACAAGCTTGGGAAGTAACCAGGGCATTGTCACTCTCCACGTCTGCCTCACCTTGCCCCACTTGTGCCCCTTGACGTGGTCAGGATGGGGTTGATCTTGCTACAGAACAAAAGGTTTTCCTTCCCGTTGGTCTGGAGAAAGAGCAAGACTGAGTAACCACCTGACACCTACCTCTGCCCTCAGGCTCACTCCTGGCCTACAGTAGGCACTAACCATTCCCACCTGTCTCAGTTTCCCTCTGTGCTCCTTATCCCCTCCTTCCTGGTCTCCCTTCTCTTTCTCTTTTGTCTTTATCTCCTCCTCTGTGTTCATCCTTCTTTTCCCCTCTGTTTTGCACTGAGCCCCCTTGGGCTCCAGGCATCCCCTCACCCTCCGTGATGGCTCCCAGGCCTCAGGAGGTGGCCACATCCTCACTCCAGCCGACCCCGACTGTTGGTTCCTAGTTCAGAGCCCATGACGATGGTGGAACTTGACATTTCTGGAGTGTGCCTGCTGTGCCAGGTGTTGTGCCAGGCACTTTACCTGCGTTATTTCCTTTAAGCCTCCCTGGGGTCTGCATGGGGGAGGCATCATGATTCCCATTCCCAGACGAGGAGACTGAGACTGAGAGAGGGGAAGTCACTTGTCTGAGGCCACATGGCCAGTACAAGGCAAGGCCAAGTCCTGTGACTTGAGAGCCCATGTTTTTAATTCTTGCTCCCTAAACCCCTGGGGGTACGACGCTGGGCATTCCGGTGTGCGGAGGGGCTGCAGGTCACCGTGGGCCTCATGGGCCTGTTGGCTCAGGTGGGGTCACAGCCAGGAAGGCACAGCAGGAAGGCCCGGGCTTTTGCCTTGAATATGATGAGCTTCTCCCTCAGAGCAGCGTTTTCAAGGGTGACCTGCCTTCCCTCCCCACAGGGCTGGAGCAGCCAGAGGTGGAGGCCACGAAGCAGGCCCTGACCAGCTGTGGCTTTGACTGCTGGGAAACCAGCATCGGTGCCCCCGGTGTCTCCATCCACTCAGCCACCTCCCTGGACAGCCGAGTCCAGCAAGCCCTGGATGGCCTCTGAGAGGAGCCCACGACACTGCAGCCCCACCCAGATGCCCCTTTCTGGATTATTCTGGGGGCTGCAATTTGCCCCTGTGCTGCCCAGCGGGCGCCCAGCTCCTGACACTGCTGGAGAGGCTCCAGCCGCTTGGTGATGCCGGCCGAGCTCTGCAGTCCCAGCGGTGGGACCTACGGAGGCATGGTCTGCGCTCTGCGTCCTCTGAAGCCAGCTGAGCAGGAGGCCTAGGAGGGGCCTCTGAGGCTCCAGACCTGAGACAGAGGGGCCGCTTTCCCGAAGCTCCCACAGTCCCACCTGCTTCAGGCCCCGGCCTTGGCCTGTGTTCTCCCTGGCCGCCTGGGTCGGATGCTCAGATGCTGGGGCCCGGTTCCCGGAGAAATGTGCCTTCTATCTCCCTCTGCAGGGACCGCCCCCGTCTCTCAGAGCCAGGTCTCTCCCTCCTCCTCCAGGAAGCCTTCCCCTACCCCTTGTCCCCCCTCCCTCCCAGAGCACCTGCTATCTGGGTCGCTCACTCAGCACTTGCTGCGGCCTTCCCTTCTACCTAGCGGGACGGGGCTCCCCCAGGGGCTGTCCTGGAGGCGGTGGGCCTGGTTAAATAAGGCAGGGTCCATGTGCAGTTTCTTCCAATCTGTACCTGAGAGGTTTGTGGAAAAGAAAGCAAAGGGGGAATAAAAAGATTTTGTGTCAGCAGTAGACTAGGGAGACTCCAGGCCACTAGCACCTTCCTCCTCTGTCCCCGTCCCCTTTCCAGCTGTTTCCTCCATGGAGCTCTTCAGCAGTGGAGGGAAATAAGGGTTTGGCGTCACTTTGTTGTGTGTCTTGGGGATGAGGTGGCTTTTCCTGGATGGCCCTTGCTGGAGAGGGACTGGAACGCGGCTCTCAGTCCATCAGCACAACTCCAGGCTGCTGCTGCAGAGGGAGAAGTTGAGCTTCCTAGCTCCAGAATCCCAAGCAGCCACGAGAGCACAGACCTGTGTAAGACAGGAAAGCAGAACCTGCCACCGCTCCTGGGCATGCCTTCCTTTCTGAAATGAACTGGCTGGATGGAGAAAACAGACTCAAATGTTCATAGCCCAGGTGCCTGGCACTCCCTACCCCCACCCCCCAGCCCCCACTGGCCCTGTTTGAACTTTATATTGCAGTTGGCTTGGTGCTTTCTGAAGTGCCAGTGCCCATCAGGAAACCCTTGTGGTTGGCGCCTTGCCAGCCAGAACCTCGGAGCCGCGGACCTGCGAAGAGGCCGAGTGGAAAGGTGGGGGGCCTGCGCAGGGATTTCAGGATGAAGTGAAAGCGATTCAGTGCGCGTCTGCCCTTGGCCACTAGGGGGCAGCTGGCGCCCTTCCCTGCTGTTTTCATGGGGAAGGTGAGAGGAGCAGGAGCGGAACTCCACCCCCAGCTCAGCCTTGGGCCCTGCCTGGGGTCACTGCTGGGAAGGTGAGGGTGAAGGGAGGACAACTGCCCCAGCTTAACTTGTAGAAATGGCCCGAGTTTGATTGCTGTTCCCTGATGGCTGTTCCCTGCCCCTTCCCTTCAAAACGCACCGCATAAAGCAGTAATACTAATACTGAACGCTCACTGTGGGCTAGGCGTGTTTAAACATCACCCCTTCTCATCTCTGCCCTGATCTCAGTGTCATTGCTAGTCTCATCCCTGCTTTGCAGACCAGGAAACCGAAGCTCAGAGAGATCGAGTAACTTGTCCAAGGCCACACAGCTCATCAGCATCTGAGGCCGGATTCAAACGGACTCCAGAGCCTGCTCTTAGCTCTTATGTGTGTCTGATGGGCTCGGCTCGGTGTGCAGGCTCACTGCGATTTTTTAGCCTTCTGTGCTGGGGCTTGTTTTTCTGGATTCAGATGTACTTGACCGGGGTGGGGCTCGGGCCTGCATGTTTTCCTCCCCACACAATTTGAATGAGCAACCAGGCCGGAGGCTGCTGGGCCCTCAGTGATGGCGCTGGCTAACAGCCAGCCTCCAGCCTGTAGGAGTTGGGCCTGGAAGCCTCCCCAGTGTTCCATAGATGTCCACAGCAGCTATGAGATGGGTGCTGGGGGCAGAGGCTGAGACCCCCCAGAGCCTGTTTGCTCCTCGCGGCCCTCTCTCTCATCCCCTGGGGACAGGATGTCACTCCTGGGGCAGGGGCCAACTCGACACTCCAGTGAAGCGGCTGCCAGTGTGCTTTGGCCAGAGCAGCCTTTCAACCCAGCCACCACTGCGGCCACCATATGGGCCTGGTGTCACACTCCTGGCTACCTTGTAGACAGTTGGCACATGCGGCTGTCACCCCTTTTCATTGCCTGTTGCAGTGGTTCTCGCTCTCAGAGCTGCACCTCAGAACCACCTGGGGAGCTTCTAAAAGACCCAGGAATTCCTGACCCCGCCCCAGGTGTTCCGAGTTCATCTGTCTCAGCGGTATCTTTTTGAATAGATAGCTTTTCAAAGCTCCCAGGTGGTTCTAAAGTGTGACCAAGCACCACGCGGTGCTGCACGACTGTGGTCCCAGCTACTCGGGAGGCTGAGGCGGGAGGATCACCTAAGCCCAGGAGTTGGAGGCTGCAGTGAGCTATGATGGTGCCACTGCACTCCAGCCTGGGTGACAGAGTGGGACCCCGTCTCTAAAAAATATTTTTAAAGAGTAATAAAATGCAGCCAACAGGGCTGAAGATACCAAGCCAGATGACTCCAAGGTCATCTCTGCATGCCTTTGTGGTGGTTGAGCACTCCAGCCCTGCCCATCCCCTGGCCACATGACCCTGGGCAAGACAGCTTACCTCTGGAGGCCACAGCTTCCTCATCGGGAAAGTGGGACTCATACCCACCTTATGGTGGTTTCATGGGGATCACATGAGAAAATACACAGAAGGCCCTTGACACAGCGCGTGGCACGTGGTAAGTGCTCAATAAATACTCATAACTGTCTTATGCTAAAAGATAAGGGTGTCTCCCAGAGCCCCACAACTTCAGAATGGTGCACAGAGCTGGCTCAAGATGCCCTGCACAGATGGTCCAAAGCGCCTGGGTTGAGACCCCTTGGGTCACTGTTGGAGAAACACACCTAATGCGCACTGGCTTTCCCACCTCCCTGCTTCCTCTCCAAAGAAGCAGTCACATAGCACCGGCGCCCTCTTTGCCCGGGAAACTGCAGTGCCTTTGAAGTTGTTAGCTGGAACCGCTCCCAGCCTCTGCAGCCTGAAGTTCTCCGAGAATTCCCTGGTTCTGGCAAGGGTCTCACTTTGGGAGGCAGGCAGGAAATACTGTGGTTCCTTCCAGATAGAGTAGCTGCTGTGATTGCACTGATGTCGTTTCTGACAGTGAGGAGTCCTTTTTATTTATTTATTTTTGACGCTGTCTCACTCTGTTGCCCAGGCTGGAGTGCAGTGGTGCCATCTTGGCTCACTGCAACCTCTGCCCCCCGGGTTCAAGCGCTTCTCCCGCCTCAGCCTCCTGAGTAGCTGGGCTTACAGGCGTGAGCCTCCACGCCCGGCTAATTTTTGTATTTTTAGTAGAGATGGGGTTTCTGCCACGTTGGCCAGGCTGGTCTCAAACCCCTGACCTCAAATGATCTGCCCACATCAGCCTCCCAAAGTGCTGAGATGACAGGTGTGAGCCAACACACCTGGCCTGGTGAGGAGTCTTTCCTCACCCAGAACGTTTCTGTGGCCTGCTGGCAGCCAGTTGCGTTGGTGGCTGGCTCCAGGTCAGCAAGCGTGGTGGGGAGCCGGCCCTGCCCTTCGCTTGTGCTTGGCCCAGTCAGCTCCTTTCTCCTCCATGGCTGTTTTCCTCCTTGGTTCCTCAGCTAGCGCCCTTCAGAAGACACCTGGCTCAGGGGCCCGTACCTCGCAGGTGCTTCCTTCCCCAGCCCTTCCTGGTTTCCAGCTAATTTTGGACAAGCTCTTTGGTTGTCTCTTAGCACCTCCTGTCTTCTAGGAAGGGGCAGAGAGCTGGATTTGAGGCCAGGCACTCTGGTTCCAGAGTCTGAGCTCTTTAGTTCTCAAATTATAATATTTTTACTATTACAAAAACAGTGTTTATGCACTGTAGAAAAAAAATACAGATGAGCAAAAATCACATCAAAGTACTGTGTTTTTACCACACAGAGATTACCCCTATGAACAGCTGCCACCTTTCCCTGTGTGTGTATGTGTGTGTGTATACATGTGTACATGCTGTTCGATAAAGTGAGATCATCTTGTACATGCTATTTTGTTACCTACCTTTTTGGTTTCCAGTCACCTTTCTCTGTCAATATGTTTCATCTCTAATGCCCAGGTTATAGTCACATTTTCTCCAACTGGGCCAGGTGTCCGGCACCCTGTCTAATACCACACACCTGGCTGTTACAGCCCTGGCTTCTCTTTTAATCTAGCACAACAGCCGTGCGCGCGCGCACACACACACACACCTTTTTTTCTCCATGATATGACTTGCTCAAGAGACCCAGCCGGTCATCCTGCAGAACACCCTGTCTTCTACACTGGTCATTCAGAATCCAGCCCCTCCACATGGCTTTGGGAGGTCTTGAACCCTTTACTGAGCACCTACTATGTGCCCAGCATGGTGCTAAGTGCTTTGTGTGCTTTATCCCTGTGAATCATTTCAGCTCATTGAGCTAATTACCGTGCTTATCCCCATTCAGTTGGTGAGTAAACTGAGGCCAGAGTAGGGAAGTGATTTGCCCAGGGTCACGTGGCAGAGTGGGATTTGCATGTAGTTCTGTGTAACTTCCGGGCCCTGCTCTTAGCCAGTGTCTAGACTCTTTCCCCAGGGAGGTGACTGGTGACCTCTCTGAGCTCCCACTCCCCGCCTTGCCTAATTGACAAAATTGAGTTGTTACATCCGCCCCAGCGGTGCTGGCCCAGCTCACCCCTCCCACCCCCTCAGCCCTGGCTGTGAACACCTCAGACCCCCCACCTACACAACAAAAGGCAAAGGGAGCAAACTGCCAAAGAACATGATGTGTGGTCTCGCAGCACTGTGCCTGGAGCCCCCACCTCCCCACATCCAAGGAAAACCTGGCACTGGGCCGAACCTCACACCTCATGTCCTCAGAACTGAAACAGACAAGGGCAATGGTCTGCCAATGGATGCTTCAGTTGTTTGTAATTAGAATCCAAAAGTGTCAGGGTCAGGAGGACCCTTGGAGATCACACAGTCCATCACCTCGTTTGCTGTGAATGGGGCGACCAAGACTCAGAGAGGGCAGGAGACCTGCCTCAGGTCACACAGCAAGCCGCCTCGTCCTCTTTCTTGCTGTTTGGTTTTCTCCATGCAGCAGGGTTGTCACAGGAAAAGCACCTGCAGTCCAGAGACCCGTCTTCAGGCTCAGCTTCTGCACTTGCTGGCTGTATGACTTCCAGCAGGGACTCCCCTGCACCCCCAGCTCTGGGCCTCAGTTTCCTCAAATGTAACATCCCAGGCAGGGTGCTAAACCCCTCAGGCTTCATTCCACTTCATTCCCACAGCAACCCTGCAGACCAGGTACAACAGAACCACAATTCCTTGTCCAAAATCGTGGGGCCAGATGTGACGTGGAATTGAGGATTTTGCAGGTTTTAGGGAGACCCCCCGGCCCATGTTTCATTCCACATGGCATCTGGGGCAGCACCACCCACCCGCGACTCTATATGAAAGGTATCAAGAGCCCCACTAAGTGGAGTGAAGGCCATAAATAATATGTGAGCCTGTGTGACACTGGCCTTTTTTTTTTTTTTTTTTTTTTGAGACAGGGTCTTGCTCTATTGCCCAGGCTGTAGTGCAGTGGCAAGATCACGGCTCACTGCAACCCCGACCTCCCAAGCTCAAGCAATCCTCCCACCTCAGCCTCCTGAGTAGCTGAGACTATAAGTGTGCACCATAACGCCCTGCTACTTTTGCTACTTTTTGTTGAGATGGGATTTTGCTAGGTTGCCCAGGCTGGTTTCCAGTTCCTGGGCTCAATCGATCCTCCCGCCTCAGCCTCCCAAGGTGCTGGGATTACAGGCATGAGCCACCATCCCTAGCCTGCTGCATTTGCTGACAAATGAACTTTGATGCCAAGGTCCTGGGTTTCAGAGTGTCTTGGGTTGTGGGTCTGAATTACTTTCCCGTTTTGTAGAGAAGCAGACAACTGCTCTCAGACAGGCTCAGTGACTCACCCAAGGGAGTGTGCTCGGGTTTGAACCCTGTCCGTCTGGCTGGATGAGACCACCTGCACCACAGGGTCTGACCAGGGCCCATCTTTGTCACTGAGTGAGAGGGCTCTGTACTGGCCGGTGGGGGGTGAGACACCATCCTGCCTGGTACAGGGCGAGGGCCAGGGGCCCCGGGTCCCGGGTACACTGGCGCAAGCTATCAAGTCAAACCAGAGTCTTCTGTCTTATTTTTTTTCCGAAATAAACCTTGTAATGCGACAAACGAGGCTGCAGAAAAGTGGCCGAGTGACAGGCCCATGACTTCAGCTGCTGGACTCTCTTGGGGTTTCTGTTTCCTTCCAAAAACCAGGGCAGCAACTAGGGGGCCACAGCCCGAGGGAGAGGGAGGGGCTCCCTCTCCTCCCAGACCAGCCCCTGCCTCCCTCCAGACCTACGGAGG